GTGCCAACCGTGTTCGGCGAACAATTTTCGCGGTCTCTTCTGCTGATGCCAAAAGCCAGAGAGCGAGAGCGCCGCCCACCTAAATGTAGGAAGTGCCTCCATTTGGCTTCCCTCTGCCACGGTGCACCGCGGTGTTTTGTGGCTTCATTTTGTCCCCCTTCGCATTTATTACGCATGCAAAGAATGCACCAAGTAAGCAGCGTGCACCAAGCTGCTGCTTGGGGGCACGACAAGAGGCGGCATGGCTATTGGCGTTTTGGGGCAAGGATTGGTGCCAGCGCCCCTTAGTGTGTGTCTGTTTGAAATTCATGACTTGTTTAGTGCACATGCCGCATAATGTAGCATGCATTTTGGGCGGTTGGTGGTGGCGCCACGGCGTATATTGCAGCTGCCACTGTTTGTCGTTGTTGTAGTTGTTGGCATTGTCTCTAAATGAGAAGCGCAGCGCCAAATATGCAAACAAATGCAGTGTGCAGTAAGGTGCGTTACGAAAGTGTAAAACTGTTCAAATAGCAGCAGCAGAATCAAAGGAATATATGTGTACACCTATACAGGCTATAAGTAGGAGAGATTTAAGTGATGGAATTGCTGCCGCACTTAAAAATTGTTTATAAATTGTACGCTCGGTTCTATTTCACATTACTGTAGTGTCAGTAATGAAACGCACTGCTCGCAAATAGACAAACACTCCATAGGGCTACATAAGTATGTGTGTGTGTGTGTGTGTGTGCATTTTGGGTAATATTTATGCGTTTTCCCATAAATGTACTCGTACCTACACACACTCGTATTCACTGGCGCGCTGTGTGTGTGTGTGTGTGTGTGTGTGTAAGATGTGCATTCATGGCTTTGACTTGTTTTGCATGCTAATTGCCTTTGCCGCCATGTGAGGGAGAGCACGAGAGAGCGGCAAAGGTAGGGAGAGAGCGAGAACGCGGATAGTGGTATCCGCTCCACTCGCAAATTGGCTGCATCCATTTGATTATGTGCGAAAATGGTTGACGGCGAACGCCGCCTTGATTAAACCACTTTGGCATGATAATTCTTTCTGTATTAAAAACATTGCGAAAATTATTTCTATTAACAAAATGATTGCCTAAATATGTAAATGGAATGCCATTTGAAGTTCTTCAGGTTTTCTGGCCCATTGATAAATAAATACAAAAAATCAGCTACTTAAATATGTACAATCAAGTATTTTTTCCATGTTATTTGTTTGCTTCATTTACAATAAAACAAAATATTTTCCATTGAAATTGCATCTGTGGGAAAATCATTTTCCAGCTGCGCCCCGAAAGTATGCAGCAATCGAATTTGTGGCATGTGCAGAAAAGCAATTTACATTTGAAATGTTTCTTTAAAGAAAACAAAAAAAAAATGGGCGATGAGCGAAATTTTTACAGCAGAAATACATAGCTGCAAGCTAAGGGGAAGGGTCGGGCATCTGGTTGCATAATTCACTGCAGGCACTCGGCGTGTGGCTGGCTGGCTGGCTGGCTGGGGTGGAGTGCTGCCAATCGTATGCTGCTACCCACCGTTGCCAATCCGTTGCCTGCTCTAATGGCATTCTGCATATTTCATCATATTAAGTGCCAAAACAAGGCATAATCAACTTCCTGTGCCGCATGCCCTGCATGCCCTGCCTGCCCCAATCCTCCAAATAGTTTGACAATGCCACAAATGCGTGCATGCGTGTGTGCGTGTGTGCCGGGGTTTATTTGAAAGTAGCAGAGGCTGGAGGGCTGGTAAGAAGCACTCTCCGTATAACTGCATCAGGCCCCGGCCCCACACACACCAAAGCCCAACCGAGCACCGCAGATTGTTGCAAACTGAAATTTCGCCAAATCATCAATGCAACAAGGCTGAGTGCCCGCCCACTGCGTGTAAGCCCTGCACATCCACCCACCCATCGCGTGCACTAATTACACAGCTAAACAATTTTGTATTTTGGGGGACTTTTGTTTATGCGACTCGCCGAACTTTGTATGTATCTGCCCCGCGCGTTTCGTGGAGCGTCGAATGGCTCAAATTGGTTGCGTAAACATTTACGATGCTCGTTAGATCAAATATTGGGTGTATTGCGCAAACACTGGGGGTTTGCCACTTCCCTGATTGGGTGGTATCTGCCATGGTGCCATGGAGTGTGCTGTACATTTGGCTAACGATCGAAATGTGATTAAAACAATGAGAATTAATGCCCTTTGGAAATCCAACTACTCTGACTGGGAACTGCAATCAGTTGCAAAAACAACTAAGCAATAAAACTAAGCTGAAGATTGTATAAAAACTTAATGGCCAGAACTTGTAAAACCTAAAGCCAAACTATTACTTTTAATTTGTAGTTCCCGAATAATCCATAATCATCTCAGAAATTTGTTTTTCAACAACTATCATCTGTAGATGATGATGCAGCATGAAAAATGTTCTATCCATTTGCCTTGCAATTTCTGGCCTTGCGCATCTGGCTAAGAAATGGATTTATTAGCGAACGGTTTGATTAATTCTGGACTGCGCTCAGGTATGGAATATGATGGCTGCGATGTGGGTGTGCAGCGATTTACGTCATGGACTGTGGAACAATGCAAATCATCTGTTGATGGACAAGAGCGTGAGCGAGAGAGAGAGAGATATGATAACGAATATAATTTGTATTCGAAAAAACAAAATTATACAATTGAATCATTTCCAAGTTGCATTCTTCAATGCGATTTGTTCAGCAGCATCGATGGAATGAGTTTGCAAACAAAACGAGGAGAGAAATTTCCTCACATCAATCACAGCAACAGGGAAATTATTTGTGCAATATTTTTTTATTTTTTGTTTTAACTTTTAGTTGATGGAGAGCAGAACTTTGATGAATGATGTTCGCTTGATTTTGCATTTCCTAACAATTAGTCATATAGTAATATAGTTAACTGTCGGGTGAGCGGTACTCATAACGTATATATGTACATACATATATGTTTCCTTAGTCAACAGATTCCTATGGTGTGACATCAGAGTCGGGACAAAGGCGAACAATGTGAAAGGGTTCAGCCCTGTAATTATGGGAACGGTTGAAAGCCCTCTTAGATTAGCACATGCCATAAATTCATTTAAGTCTGTCTAATCCCCCCACACAAACACACACACACACACGAACATAACCATAAAGGCACTCATATATTTGCTTAGACATTGCTTACGGATCCGGGATCCGCTTCCCCTGCATATGCAGCAGCATTTTGGCCCTTGAAATTTGCATAGGATGCAGGTTTGAATTTATTTATGATCCTCTCTCGGTCCTTAGTCCTGTCCTCCCTTCTCTGTCCGCCCTCCTCCGTCCAGACATTCGCACGATGCTTGTCTGCATCTTTATCTCGCCCACTGTGTGGCTCCACCTTTGATTGTCTGCTGGGTACATTTTACTAGCTCTCTTTATGCATATTACAACACTTTCCCTACCCAAAAATAGACATCCATATACATATATACATGTACATATGTATTTATGTGCGTCGTCTTCTTCTGCTGCAATCTGCAACATTTTTATAGCACGGCCATTAATTTTGAAACAATGCAAATCAGAGAACTTTTATTGTAAGCAAAATATTGTCTAAAATAGCCGTTGAAAATTTGTACCAAAATAGAACAGAATAGAATTCGCTGCACTAGAATTACTACAGCATTTTGCTTAAAGCTGGGATTCTATAGGAACTTTATGTGAATTTACATATACATATATCTTGGCCATTGTAATTGTCCGCTAAAAGAGCTTGCGTATTATTTTAAAGTGTTTTTTTTTTGAGTATTCCATGCCCCTTTTAATCAATTAAAATACTTTTTTTCTGCAATTCTGCGGTACTTTTTCAACGGAATATTCCTATTTATCTATGACAATATATCAATAAAATGTTATTCTTTTCCCAATTTTTCGTTGGTAGTGTTATTTTTCTGAAATACTCGTATTCAATTGTTTTTGTTTGGAGCTTGGTGGGTGGTCCACTTTATTTATAATTATTTTTCGCGTTCATTCCCGAATTGAATATTGTTTACAGCAAAAAATAGGAACGATTATCTGATTGAATAATCTGGTATTTTTGGCACGAATTTTTTGCAAAAACAGCCGTAAAAATAGTTTACGATTTTCCACAGAAAATGTGTTAAAAATATGTTTGGATTCCTCTCGCATCAAGAGCATCAAAGAGAACCGAAGAATTCATACATTTAAAAGGGATTACCTTTATGTTTAGTTGTTTAATTAATCATAATGTATGGCAAAATCTTTATTTATTTGATCTAATTTGATTTTTGGATGATTTTGCTGGCGTGTGCTGTTTATGGCGTGTGCCAAACAAATTTGTCAAAGCTAAAGTCGAAAATTGGGAGAGCCAGCGCACGCTGAATGACAATATCACTCTCTCTTGCTCTCTCTCTTTCTCCCTCTGTTAGTATTTATTCTTACTGTAGCCGGTCTCTTGCGCCGCGCCGGTGCGCAATGCAGCATGAGAGCATGTCATGACATGTCTGTCTATTCACGTGTGTGTGTGTGTGTGTGTGTGTGTGTGTGTATAAAGTTTGAGGCTTTTGTCGCCTTCTTCATTCTTTCTTTCTTTGCTTTATCTTTCACGTCTGATAGTGCACGAAGAACGAAATTACGAATTACTACAGCGCAGCTGTAGTTAACATATCGACTAAGTGATACCCTCAGCTGTGAACATCCATAATACCTGCCCATAGCTTATCCAACCGATGTCTATGAATTCTTGCAGATCAGTGCATAATGTCCATAGGCACATGAATAAAATATATTTGAAGCTTACCCATTTTTTACAGTGAATTGCAGCGACACATCTGTGTGTAGCCCAATATACCACTGCCAGCCAGCACATGCACAGGGTATGCAAACTGTTTACTGCCCTCTATGGGTGGAGACAGCCAGGCCACCGACTGGGAGTCTGACGCTGGCGTCGACGTCGCTGCCTGGTCATGCAGTCGGGAGGGAGGCCGCCTCTCCGGTTCCTTGGGATCAGTCTGTGGACTGAACTGACGTTTGCCGTGTCGATCGCGGTCCCAAAAATTCTCGGAGCAAAAACTGTTGAACTTTGTGGTGTGCCTTTGTTTGTGGTAAAGTTTCGTTTCGTTCAGAAAACATAACAAATTAAATATATGTAACTGTATTGAATGAGCCGCTTAAAAAATACATACATAAACTTGTGCCCTCAACCGGATAATGCCATAAAAAAGGAGACAATTAAATAATGCTAATTAAGTACAACTACAAACAAATTGATTTAACGAATTAAGTGCTATTTAACATAAACAGAAAACAGGAAAAAACGCAGTTGGTATTGAAAGTCGCATAATTGATTCATTAATGCATATTCAGCAGAAATATTTATGAATATTCCCCCGCCCAGCCAGTGTAAAGCAAAGCCCATTAAGACCCGGGACCCCATTGCTGGTAGCAACAAAAAGAAGAGCTGAACTAGTTGCCATTTCAATTTATGAATAATATTTAGCTAACTATACATGCAAACAAACATATTTAAATCAGCTTTTTGTGTGCGCAAATTGGTTTAAGAGTCCGGAAAAGAGAGCGAGAGCGGGCGAGCGGGTGAGCGGGTGTCTTTGTTTGAACAATTGAGTGGCAAAAGCCGACAGCTGATTTCACGTATCTTCGCTCTCTTAAATATCACCAGTTGTTGTCTCTTAAGAAAAGAATTTCATACATATGCATGTTCAAATAAATATGCTCTCCCACTGCTTGTTCCTTTTTTGTACCCTTCCAGAGGGTCCCAGGGGGGGAGGCATTTCCGGTATTAATATTTCTTATTTCTTATCAGCATGAATTTGCTTCTTTACTGGGCAGCACATACATGTAAATATGAACCAAATTAAAATACAAAAGTAGGGTAATGGTCCGCTAACTTCTTGAGATCTTTTGACATAGATGCAACATAGCCTTGAACTTTAATTGACCAAAACACACGAGTATACATAAAATAAGATGGAACACAAACATTTTGGTTTGTTTACTGATTCTGGACTGAATTCTATTTGTGGCAACCACACCATATGGATAGACTTGGCTAGCTAAATATTTTCTTTCAACAGGCAATCCCAAAATTAAAACATCAGCAAAAGCAAAAGCAAAAGCTTCCTTTGGTATACAAATTTCTCCGTCTTCTTATAAATTTTGGTAGCAAATGAAAAATGAAAATTGAAATTACGAAATATTTTATTTATGACTTGGATTTGCTTACTTAATTGGTCAGGGAGTCCATAAATAGGGGGCGATAAAATGATTTCGGAAGGTTCTGACGCATGAAATACGAGGATGATGTGGTGACTTTTTGTCGATAAAGATCGATCAAACGTGCTAATTTTATGGGGGCTATATGCCTGACACATACATATTCTATAGTTCTAACCGATTAATGATAGATTGTTGGGGTCATTTTTTACACAACCCCATTAAAATACCTCATCGATGCGGCAATACTCGTACCATTACCAGTAATGGAATTTGCTTCCTTTGATAAGTTAAAATTGGAATGAGTGACTAAGCCGAGCCCCCGTTCAAGCATTCGATTCAATGATTCGGATCCGTTGTGGCCGAATAAATATTCATACGAATGCTGTCATTGAAGAACTTCGACTCAAATGAATGGACACTCGCATTGAAATCAGTTGCGTTCTATGGGAGTTGATTAGCTACAAATAGTTGCAATGTAATCGGCTTCATAGTGAAAACTCACCGAATCCGAATGAGCGCTGGCGCGATAGTCGTTCTCGGCCTTCAAGTAGGCGCACAAACTCTGATTGACTTCAGATGGGTTCTTCGTCTTGAAATGCTGGTCAATGTCTGCCGTATAGATCACCGGCCGCTGGCTGGAGTCCTGTCTTGCCGACCGATCCTTGGACCGAGTTCTGTCCTGTGCGGATCTTTCCGCCTGGCTGAAGCTTTCCTTAGTGCCATAATTATTGCGAATCTCCTCCCGCTCATACTCGATGCGCATCTTGATGGCCTCCAGCATGCTGATGGGATCGACGAGGCCCAGCTTCTCCGGCAGCACGCCGGCGAAGGCGATCTCATAGGCATAATCGTTGAAGTTCTCGCGCCCATTGAGTGTCTGCTGTATGACATCGTTGCAACAGCTCTCCTTGACCATGGCCTGGAAGTACAGTTCTCTGGTGCGCACGGCAAACCCTTCCTCTGCTGTGCTATTAGCGGGCGGGCAAAAGCAAGTCTGCTGAAGAAGGTAAGGCTCGCAATAAATTGAAGAAAACTCTAGAGACATATCTTACATCCGAACCGGATCGATCGGTATAGTCGATCGTCTGGGTAAAGTCCATGGTCGGCTCCTTACCGCCATATGGCACTGGCTGTGGGTGCGGTGCACTGCGTGCATACGACCTGTTGCCCTGACCGCGCGATTGATTGTTGTACCGCAGTGTCACTGTTGCATCGGCATTGAATCTGTCCGAATGCATGCCGTATGACTGTTCGGTTGTCTGTGGTGCTGGTTGTCCGCCTTGGCTGGTATTCTGTGCTGGTTGCGCACTCCCTTTGTATGGCGTACTCTGCGCCTGTGGTGTGCTCAGGTCTCCCTGACCACTGGCTGGACCGCCGTACATCTGATGCGTGGACTCTGATTCAACGCTCCGATAGAATGAACCTTGATTCGTGGGGCACAATTCATTCCTACAGCAGGGTGGCGCCTGGTTGGGCGACTGGTTCATGCTGCGCTGCTCCATGGGCGACTGGTTCATGCTGCGCTGCTCCAAGGGCGACTGGTTCATGCTGCGCTGCTCCATGGGCGAAGCCGTCTGATAGCGCGACGTCTGATTCATACGCTGAACACCTCCAAATGTTATATCCGACTGCTGTGCTTGCCTCTGTGCTGGCGTCGCTGGCTGGTCAAAAGGTTCAACGTCCTTGAAGATATCCTCAGACTGTTTTGGGCGGGCATTTAGTAGAGTAGATGAATCTGGTCCCAACTCGACCGGGAATCTCTCACTTACCTGTGGAGGACTCTGCTGCAGCTGTATTCTCGCGGTTTGAGACCTTTGCAGCGCCGGACAATGCGACTCACAAAGCGACGGCTGGCTAGGTGGCAACGGTGCACCCAGATATGGACTCTGACTCTGCTGCGCTTGCGACCTCTGGGGCGGTAGTGGCGGCTGATACTGGGCGGGGAGGGATGCTTGGATTAGGAGCTCCTAAATCGTTGCATCAATGCTCACTTACATGCTGGCTGGTCTGCTGAGATCGGTCCCCATAAAAAGGGGCATTCACGGACGATGGCAGCTGCTGGAAGCTCGTCTCATTCTGTACGGAGGTGCCACAGCTCATCTGTTCGCCTCGAGGAAGCTCAGCCGAAGTTTGCATTGACTAGGGGGCAATGTGGCGGGGGAATACAAGGCGGAATGGCACTTATTACAGCACTTACCATTTGCCCGAGAGCCGCTGGGCTGCGCATGGACTGCGGCTGTGACCGTGACGGCGGCAGGCGGCTGCAGCTTCCAAGGCAAGTCGGCACACAGGCTTCCCAGGAAACATCTCTACCCACCGTCGTGCAACTGGCATCGGGCTTTTATCGGAATCGGAATGGGAATAAAATTGAAAGTGATACAAAATTCAGCAGCTTGCACACTTCGCACACTTACAAATCTTTCGCTGTTCTCGTGGCTTCTCAAGGGAAAATTTGCCTGCTGTTCTCGCTGCTGCTGCGACTGGTTCATGGTGTTTCGACTGCACTGTGCCGTACATGTCTGTATGCAACTGCGTTCGGGCTTCATTGGGAAAACAATTAAAATCAAAATAAAAATGATCAAGGCATAAATTACCTGCTGCTGCTGCGGTGTACCGCGGCCCGACTGGTTCATGGTGTTTCGACTGCACTGTGCCGTACACGTCTGTATGCAACTGCGTTCGGGCTTCTTTGGGAAAACAATTAAAATCAAAATAAAAACGAGAAGGAACGTGTGAGTCGCTTCTGGGGACGCGACTCTACTTATACCCGTACTCAGTCAGTATATACATTTTTGAGCTTATGATTTTTAAGAATTTTAGAAAAAAAAAAAAATTTTACATTTTACATTTTAAATTTTTTTGCTACATATGCTATCTACATCTAGATATACAATGTATATTCTACATCTAACATGTAGATTGTACATGTTCCAATTAGATTCTACATCTCCTCCGCTAGGGGTTGCTCGCGCACTGAACGCGGCAGAGTGTGCGAGCGAGAAGGAAAATGAGTTGCGTTGTTGTTGGCAGGAGGGGGCAGGGGAAGCAACAGAAAATTAATTTCTTCATTCTGGCTATAATTATGATCCGATCTAGTTCAGATTTGGCAATCTGGTAGATATGGGCATTCTCTACGATACTCTACGATTTTTAGTTTTATCGTATCTTCAAAAGTGTGCCTGCCACAGATTTTCGTTCTTTGTGGGGGCGGAAGAGGGCGGGGCGAAATTTTGAAATACACTTGTATCAGTGTGATATCACATGAGTCTGGAAACCAAATTTGGTTGCCCTAACTCTTATAGTCTCTGAGATCCAGGCGCTCAACAAGACGGACGGACGGACGGACGGACGGACAGACAGACATGGCTATATCGACTCGGCTATTGATGCTGATCAAGAATATATATACTTTATGGGGTCGGAAAACTTTCCTTCTCTGCGTTACACACATCCACTTTTACCACAAATCTAATATACCCCTTAACTCTTTTTTGAGTACGGGTATAAAAAATGATCAAGGCATAAATTACCTGCTCTGCACTCCGTGCTGGCTCTGGCTGCTGTGGGCGACGGCAAAGGGCGCGATTGCAGTGTGGCTTACAGCGCTCCCGGCAATCCACTGGACCTATTTTCGTGCTATTCAGTTCGGGTTCCTATCGGCACATAATTCGTAAATTCAGCAAAAACTTTGGCACCTTTCCACACTTACAAATCGCATGTCGCATGTCACATCGTTGTGCATCAAAGGAAAAGTTGTCTGCTGCTGCTGATGCTGCTGCTGCCTCGGAGTATCAATGGACTCGGGATACTGTACCGACTGATCCATGGTGTTTCGACTGCACTCTTCCTTACAGTTTTCCCTGCAAACGTCCGAACCGATATTCATGCTATTCACATCAAATTCCTATGGAAAGATTCGATTCAGTAAAAGTTCAACAGCTCCGCTCCGCTCTGTTCCACACTTCACACACTTACATATCTTTCGCTGTTCACATCGTTGTGCAGCAGGGGATAATTTGGCTGCTGCTGCTGCTGCTGATGCGGGGGAGTTCCAAAGGACTCTGCAGCCCGCACTGGCTGTGGCTGTGGCTGTGGCTGCTGTGGTCGGCCACATGAGGCCACATAATTGCACTGCGGCTTGCAGCGCTCCCGGCAATTCAATGGACGCATGTTCGTGCTATTGAGATCGCGCCCCTAGTGGAACATAATTGCGTGATTAATCATTAGTTCAGCAGCCTGCACAGTTTCACACTTACAAATCTGTCGCTGGACTCATCGTTGTGCATCAAGGGATAAGTCGACTGTGGCTGCTGCTGCTGCTGCTGCTGCTGTTGCTGCTGCTGCTGCTGCTGCTGCTGCTGCTGCGGCTTCGGGGTACCAAAAGACTCTGGACTGCTTCGACTGCACTGTCCCTTACAGGTTTGCTTGCAATCCATTGCACCAATTTTCGTGCTATTGAGATCGGGTTTCTATCGGCAGACAATTCGTCAAATCATCAAAATTTAAGCCCTTTCTGCAGCACTTTACACTCACAAAGCTGTCGAAGGACTCATCGTTCTCCAAGGGGGGAAAATTGCCCTGATACTGCTGCTTAGGCTGCTTTGGCGGGGAACCAAAAGACGCTGGCACCCCGGCCGACTGGGGTGACTGGTTCATGTTGCTGATGTTGCACTCTCCCCAACAGGCTTCCCGGCAAACCCGAGGAGCCAGCTGCGTGCTATTGAGATCGGGTTCCTAACGGCAGACAATTCATCAAAATTTAAGCACTTTCTGCAGCAGTTTACACTCACAAATCTGCTGTGGGAGTCATCGTTGAACAACAAGGGAGGCAGTTGCTGTTGTTGTGGCTGCTGTTGCTGCTGCTGCTGCTGCTCCCTCTGCTGCCACTCACCGTAGTTCATGCCAACACCTGAACTTTCATTCATGTTGGCATTGGCATTGGGATTGGGTTGGGTATAGGCAGTGCAGGTTTTCGGGCACTTTAGGCGATTATTGGAGAGGGTAATTGGAGCCGTAGCACTCGCAAGTTCTGTAGATAATCCCATGGATACTCACACTTCGAGGCTGCGGCTGACTGTGCTGGCTGAGGGGTAAATGTGCGGCTTGGGTTGTGCGTTGTATCTCCAAGCTAAACGATTGCACGGCCTGCAGAAAACGGGGTCGGCTGTCACGGACATTCGCATGCTCTGACGTGTCCTTGGTGTCCCTCGGGGCCAGATTGAACCTTTGTGGCGACACGTTGCTGCTGTAGGACTTTGGATGGCAAAGAACAGATCAGATCGGACCACGTCCAAGAACCTGCTGACTGAGACTCACTCTGGGCCTGGGGCCATTCTGCATGGGGCGGCTCTGTGTGCTCTGAGGCCTACGATTGGGCAGCTGACAGCGCTTGCAGCAAGCCTTCAGTTCAATGTTGGAGCTGGACCGCATAGTGGATCGACAGTTGCGCATGCAATCAGTCTCTGCGATATTGTTGCTATGGCCAGGGCAGGGGTTGTCCGCCTCGGGCCTGGTCGATTGCTGCTCGTTCGGTTTCAGCTCGTTTCCCAGAAAGCGACTGAATGCCGAGAACAGCTCATCGGGCAGCAGCACAGAGTTTCTGAGAGTTCAGTTTGGGAGACAGAACCATGAACAATCCTCCGCAGAGGCCCCCCTCTACTTACACAGCGTCGTTTGCACCAGAGAACAGCTTGAGGTAATTGTTTTGATCGTTCGGGGGGGAATATTCAAATATTTTTGCATATAGTGTGGGCTATAGGCTATGTGTAGGTGTAGTTGTAGTGTAAATATGTTGCATTAATTAATTTAACCGCTGCAAACCGAAAGAAAACATTTTATCAATAATTACTAGGAATTTTAATTTGATTTTTTGCTGTTCAAATGCTTTGTATACAGACAGAAAAATCTGAGCTTAAATGAGCGAAAATTTTGTGATATTTATATGGGTAAATAAGCTGGAGTATCCATATCCAATAGTTAATCCTCAAAGCAATTGCTGGCATTTGCCTTAGGTATAGTTAATTGCTTATAAATAATAATATAATTATGCCAAAGATTTTTTGAGCATTTATTTATACACTTAAAGACGTTTTAATGGCACTACTACGAGTATTACTTATTTTGTGGATATTTTAAATACTTAAACAGGATGTAGAACACTTCTAAGTACAGAGAATGAAAGCAAGGACATTCAGTTTGCTGTCCCTGGGCCATCCGGTGCCTCAGCTCTGGCATCTAACCGGTGCCCGCTTCCGTTGTTCATTAGACAAGTGCTGCAATTCCAACGCGACAAAGGCCAAATCGTTTGTCTGCGCTGCATCCGCATCCGCATCAGCATCCGGTCTTGTATCTGGATCCAGATCCGTGTGCGGTGTCCGTGTAGCTGTCATCCTGGGGCAGGCATCATGCCAAACGGAAACCTGCTGCTTTGCTGCTCCCTCAGCAGTGACAGGAACGTGGGCGTGGCATGCACATTACGCGTGAAATCCAATTCACGCAAACTGTCCGCCTGGCCGGCGAGGAAGGGCAGCAGGGCGTGCGCCACTCGCGGCTGCTGTGGCAGCCACTTGATGCTGCCATCCGCAACATCAAAGTGCACCGTCAGCTGCGAGTGCCAAGCGAAGCGATGCAGACGGAAGGTGTCCCCCGGGCCCGCCGCCGCCATGAGACGCAAGAGGCTCGCATCGAGCTGGCACTGCAAACGGAGACCCACAATGTGGCAGGCTCTCCTGTGCTGCAGTGCCTGCAGGCACGCCGCGATGGTGGCGCCGGCATTTGCTTTGTCATCGTCCGTGTGCCCGTGGCAGAGGAAACCCGTCAGGCGGCGCAGTCGGGGCAGTTGGAACAACTGCGTGGCCGTGGCACGCACCAGGCACGCCGGCAGCTTCAGCGACTCCAATGTCGCTCCATACTTGATGGCCGTCCAGGAGCGGGGGCAGCTCCAGCCGGGCTGCAGCTCAAACTGCCGCAGGTGCCGCAGCTGTCCGAAGAGCAGGTGGAGATCCGCCGGGGTTATGCCTTCGCCCAGACCCAGCTGCAGGTGCACCAAGTTGGGGCAGACAGCCGGCAATCGATGCAGCAGCCAGGCGCCGCTCTCCACAAAGCTCAGCCACTGCATGTGCCGGTGGACGCACTTCCGTTTCCGGTCATACAGCCACTGGCGACAGCCATCGCTGCTGCCATTCAGGTTGAGCAGCGCCCTCGTCCGGGCACTCAGCAGCTGCAGCAGTTGACTCTGCTCTTTGGCACTCAGACGGCTGCTTAATTGCTGCTGCTGCCAGTCAAAGTGCTGGGCATATTTGCGCCTCCAGATCCGCAGCACCAGCTCGGCCAGGCGCTCGTCCTGCAGCTGCAGCAGACTCCACTGGTCGCCCATCGACAGCCGTTCGCATATCAGCAGCAGGCAGTCGTCGTTGAGTTCGGTGAGTGTTGGGCTGACTCCTCGGCGAGCCCGAGCCTCTTCTTCGCTGCTGAATAGTATCTGTCTGCTGCTGCTCAGTCGCATTCTGAAGCTACTTTCCTCGCTGAGTCGACTCTTCGCACTGCGAGGAGCGGGGCGGAAACGCGTGTCATGTCTGTGTCTGCCGCCACCGCTGTCTGTGTCTCTGCCACCCTTGTCGTGAATCAGTGTGTCGGCCCTGCAATCGCAGCTGTGTCGCCGCCCGCCCATCTGGGTTGCAGTGCGTGCGAGGCGACACCACCAACAGCAGAAACATGCCGCACACACATGGACACGCACACGGGAATCATCCACTTTCCACTTTCCACTCTCCACTTCCCACTCGTGATTGTGCAGATCTTGCGGCAAACAGAGTGCACAGCACAGTGGAACGAACTATTGCTTTGTTTTCTTTATTTTTGTCTTACATATTTTAATCTTTTTAAGTGCAAAAGGCAGCCACAAACATTACTAATTAGTGCGGTTATTAGCTTCAGTCCCATTGCACTTTTATTCCCCCATTTCGCGCCACTGTTTGCCGCCCGCTGAGTGCCCTGACACTGGCAGGAGAGTATCTCCTCTCCTTGTCTACTGCTGGTGGTGGTGGCGACACCGATTCGAACATAAGTGCAACCCCTCGCTGACAAAGGCGATACCAGGCTTTACATATCCACACTGCCTCTACCTCTCTCTGCCTCACTGTCTCTCTGCCTCACTGTCTCACTGCCTCACTGTCTCTCTGCCTCTCTCTCTCTCTGAGATAGTCTCTTGTCGGTATTTTCAATACCCTGCCCGATAACTGCAACGCCAAGGCCAAGCTGGCTCTGTGGGCGGCACAGGCGTTAGGGTCCAACTATTTCGCGTGGAGTGGAGCCAAAGAAATCTCGATGGATCGCTGGCCAGCAGCGTTTATCTGCGCTGTCGTGTGGGGGGACCCACTGATAAGGCAAAGCTTCGGACCCCACCCCCCACTGTGTTCCTTGTTGTATCAGCAAAGTGCTCGCTGAGTTGTGAGTCACAGCAGATATCTGTCATTCGGTTTTGGATTAATACCCTTTTGGAGCAAACGAAACAAAGTTTCAGCAAAATTTAAGCCAAAATTGAAAGTTTAAATGGCCAGCAAAGGATTATCGCAGAGTCAGGGCAATGGCCGTGCCAGTGCCACTCCCCTGCCGGCGAGAGTGATCCGGCTGGACGTTGCGGGCCACTTGAATGGCAGCCCACAGCTCAGCCGCAGCACACTCAAGTACGACACCGTTTGCCTGAACGTTGCCATTTCGCTGGCCCTGTTTGCCACATGCAGCATGATGGTGGTGGCTGCGATGCTCTGGCTGGCGCCGCTCAAAGACTTCCAGGCCACGCCCGCGGAGCTGATGGCCCGCAAGCATCGCAGCATTGTGGCCAAGGAGCAACGGCTGCGGCTGGGTGGCAAGCTGCATCTGAGTCCCCTCGAGGAGGTGGCCAATGCGCGGCTGCTCGAGCAGCTGGACGCGGAGGTGCAACGCCTGTGGGTGAACTACTCGATGAACACGCCGCCGTTCCTCAGGCACCACAAGATCAGTGAGACGGATCTGTACGGGATGCTGAGGAGCATGCCCAAGGGCGGGCTGCTGCACATCCACGACGCTGGCATGATGCAACTGGACGTTCTCATCGAGCTGTCGTACCGCGACGACCTGTGGGTCTGTGTCGGCCTGGATAACGTCTTCGAGAACTTTCGCATCTCCAGCGTCTATCCCCACATGCCGCCGCCGTCGTCGGACGACGCCAACTGCATCTGGATGCTGATGAGCAACTTCCACACGTTCGAGTGGCACGACCGCTACGAGCAGCAGCTGCGCGATAGCTTCACCATCCGGGAGGGCGGCTACAAGAACGCGTCAGAGATGGCACGTCACATGCGGCGCAGCCAACGCCTCATCCACGGCCTGGTCACGTTCCACACGCTCTGGTCGAGCTTCCTGTTCCGCATGCTCGAGGATTTCCACAAGGATGGCGTGCAGTATGTGGAGCTGCGCTCCTCCCTGCCACTTGTGAGTGAAGCAACCCACGGCAACCCATCGGTAGTTCTCCCTATCCTCAGCCTTCTCCCCCAGTTGTACGACCTGAAGGGCACCAACTTCACCATTCTGGACACCGTCAATGCGATCGTTACCATCACGCGCCTGTTCAAGTCCACCTACGGCAGCTTCATTGGCGTCAAGCTCATCTATGCGCCGGCCAGGGACCGCAACGACAGCCACATGGATCAGTACGTGGCAAATGCCCGCCTGCTGAAGGTCCGTTACGGTGTCACCGTGTTGATTGGTCAGCCCTCTCTAATCTAGCCCTCTTCTGCCTACCCTGCCCGCATCAGAGCCATTTTCCCGATCTGTTTGCGGGCCTCGATCTGAACACCTTCGGGGACGAGTGCCAGCTGCCGGGACTGGGCGAGGCCACACAGCTGCTGCACATTGGCAAGGATATCGACTTTTACTTCCGGGCGGGCGAGTCCCGCTGCCCGGACATGACCAAGCCGCATGCGAATCTCATCGATGCCATGCTGCTGGGCAGCAAGCGGATCGGGCATGCCCTCAATCTGCCCCTGCATCCGGACATCCTGCGCACCATGCGCCACATGCAGGTCGCCGTCGAGGTGTGTCCGCTCTCCAATCATTATTTGCAGTATGTGCAAGATTTCCGCCAGCATCCGGCTGCGTATTTGCTGGCCGCCGGCTATCCCATTGTCCTGGGCTCCGATTATCCACGTTTCTGGAACGCAGCGCCCCTCACCGACGACTTCTATGTGGCCTTTGTGGGCATTGTCATTGGGGAGGGCAATCTGCGGCTGCTCAAGCAGCTGGCCCTCAACTCCTTCCTGTACAGCTCCCTGAGCTGCGCGGAGCGCACGGCGGCCATTGACCAGTGGAGTTGCAGCTGGAACAACTGGATCACAGAGTTTGTCAACCAGACGCTGACATTGTGACAAAAAGAAATTACCCCGTGATCCATGGCGAGGGGGAACATGACGTGTGTTGGGTGTTGGCCTTGGGCTTTGGGCTTTGTGCTTTTGGCTTGATTATTAAATTTGCTCAGCTCAGTGAGCTCAGAGGCTATTCAATTAATGCAAGCAAGGAAACTTCTTTCACAGGAGTAGCGCTCTATAACTGTGTTTCTCACTGTGCAGTAGGACTGTACAGTGCTGCATAATTTTCATCGAAATCTCCCTGTTTGGTGGTCCGTCGAACATAGTCAGTGGTGCAGCAGTAGACTAAATCTCTTATCTATTATAATAGTCAACACGAGAATTAGGCTGTGGCTAAAAATATAGATTCTTATAGATTTCGGGGTTTAAAAATAATAACAAAAATTATTGTTCGTCATTTATACTGTCCACTGGTGCCCACTGCAGCCGCCTATGCAGCCGTTCTCTTTTGCCTCTGCCATCGCCTCTCCTTTGCTTTGCCATCGCTCTCTCTATCTGTCGCTCTATCGCTCTCTCGCTCGTATTAGGGCACGGGCAATTTCTGCGCGCCTGCTCTTGAAGTCAGTCTGGACCTAGCACTCACTTCTGGCATATCGTAGACCTGATCTTCAAACCGACACAGCCTTGAACCGGCCCCGCGTCTTCAGTCGACCCCGTCTGGAATGGATCAATTGACCCATCGTAAACTAGCCATCAAATCTATTACCTCTCGCTATTTTTGGATACTACATACATACATAATATACTACACTACACTAACCTGTGACACTCCCCATTCAATCTTCAGTTGAGACATTCAGTAATTCTTTATTTTGTATTTATTATTTTTTTTCTTTTTTTTCTTTGATTAGTTGAGTCAGTCAGTGAGTCGTTGAGTGGCTGAGTCGCATGTGCAGGACGCACTCTCGTAGATTGGTTTCTTTCCGTGTTTCGAATCGTATCTCTAACACTCCTTTTTGAGGTTATGTTTTTGCCGACGGCGCAGCTGTTTTTTTTCCAACAATACAGTTACAGTACGAATTACTGGATTTATGCTTTGCTCTCTTTTGTTTTTGTTTTATATTTAATTTTATATTTTCAGTAGGGTAGCCCTCAGGTTTCCTCTTTTTGGGAAGCAAAGTGCCAGTGTTGCACAATTAGTGCTGCACAACGTTGCTTTTGCTTTTGTGTGTGTTTTAAATGAGTTCTTTGAACTAAAAAGAGTTTGGAAAAGGGTATCTTAAAGCCCTCCATCTGGTGCTGGTGCCTTGCCTTGCACTTGGCGGAGGCTCGCGTGTTTTCCGGCTCCATAAACTCAAAGCACTCGCACTCGAATGTCAGGGCCAGGGCTGCATAGCTACGAGTATACATAGTTACACATACGCCAATGTAGTTATGCAATCTTATCTGTGGTCCCTCGTAAATCAAGATGCCTGCCTGCCTGATTGGCTGCCCAGATTAAGCCCCCAGAGTCCCGGTTACCAACCCGCTGGGAAGTGGCTTCTCACTCGCTCCGCTGCTCGCCTTCCTCTCCATCGTTATGCTTATCGTTTGTGAAATCCGGTCGAACGCGTGTTAAATCAAAGATAATGCCAACTACGGAATCATTTCAGATAGCGGTGGGGGCATCGAAACCGAAACCGAAACCGAAATCGGAGCTTCTTGAGTGCCACCAGACATCAGTCGAAGCACGGACCTACTGGGGATCAGACCAACCATTAGAATGCCTCGTCCAAGCCAATGCAATCTTATCGCAGTGCTCGCCGTGGGCCTCTGCCTGTGCGTCTGCCCAGCTGCGGTTGAGTCGCGCACGCGGAACAAGAACGTGGACGAGAGGCGGCTGATGTCGCTGTACGGCAACAATCCGCACGTGGAGCCGCTGCTGGGCAGAAGTCGACCCACGCCGGACACCTACAAGACGCTGCGCAACGCCTTCTTCCGCTACGAGGAGTCCCGCTCCCTGGGCTACGACCTGGAGCTGACGGCTCGCGAGCTCCAAGCCAATGATACCATCATGGCAGCCAAGCTGCACGAGTACACCGAGGGACTGCTCACGCCGCATCTGTTCAAGCCCTCGCAGCACATCTTCGATGTACTCGACGGCGTCCGCGACACTCAGCTCTTCCACTTGCTCAAGAAGATGCCCAAGGGCGCGGTGCTGCACGCCCACGACACCGCTCTCTGCAGCACGGAGTCCATCATTGCGCTCACCTACTACGACAGCCTGTGGGCCTGTCTGCAGAGGGACGACCTCGACTTTTCCGTGCTACGATTCGCCAAGGAACAGCCGCAGGCGCTGGACAACTGCGACTGGTCGCTGCTGGCCGAAGTGCGACAGAGGTACGGGCGGGAGAAGGTGGACGAGTATCTGGCGGAGCATCTGACGCTGTATCCCACCAAGAAGTTCGAGGACAACAACGCCGCCTGGGCGACCTTCATGGACATCTTTGGGCTGCTCGACGGCCTGGTGATGTATGCCCCCGCCTGGGGCGACTACTACTACAACGCCCTGCAGGAGTTCTACGACGACGGAGTGCAGTACCTGGAGTTCAGATCGCTGGTGCCAACGGTGGGTGGGCTGCTCCCCCATAACTTCCGCAAAATAATCCTCGAATCTCTTGCATTTTACTTGCAGCTGTATGATCTGGAGGGCACTGTCTACACGCCCCTGGACACGGTGAGGATCTATGTGGAGACGCTGGATAAGTTCAAGCGGGACCATCCCGACTTTATTGGCTCGCGGATGATCTATGCGCCGCTGCGTAACACCAATCCCGAGGGCGTGCTCGGCTACATTGAGACCCTGAAGCAGATCAAGGTGAGTACTCGGCTGGATCCGTGCCTGGATTGATCTTTAATCTTTGCTTCATTGATAGGCCCAATATCCGGACTTTATAGCCGGCTTCGATCTGGTGGGACAGGAGGAGCTGGGGCGTCCGCTCAGCGAGTTTATCGATCAGCTGCTGGAGATTCCCGACGACATTGACTTCTACTTCCATGCGGGCGAGACGAACTGGTTTGGCTCCTCTGTCGATGAGAATCTGATCGATGCCATTCTTCTGGGCACGAAGCGCATTGGGCATGGCTTTGGCCTGGTCAAGCATCCGGTGGTGCTCGACATGCTCAAGAAGCTGAACGTGGCCATCGAGGTGAATCCCATTTCGAATCAGGTGCTGCAGCTGATCACCGACTTCCGGAATCATCCGTGTGCGCACTTCTTCGCCGACGGCTATCCCGTGGTGATCTCCTCGGACGATCCGTCCTTCTGGAAGGCCACGCCCCTGACGCACGACTTTTACATCGCCTTCCTGGGCATTGCCTCGCAGCACGCCGATCTGCGGCTGCTCAAGAAGCTGGCCCTCAACTCCATCCAGTACAGCTCGCTGCCGACGGAGCAGCAGTTCGAGGCCCTGGAGAAGTGGCAGGCCAAGTGGGATCAGTTCATTGCGGATGTCAATGAGGAGTCGCCGAATCGTGGCTCAGCCAGTCAGCACCTGGATTGACTAGCACGGGTGGTGACAGCGTTCCTGGTCGCCGTGTTCTCCCTGCTGAGCTCTGGCCTGCGACGCTAGTCGGTCCCATATCCCCCTGCATCTGCATTCGCATCTACATTTGCATCCCATCTGCGCGCCATGTCCATACTCAATATATATCCCATATGCCAGTTTTGTTGTAAGCTAATTGTTATGGATTAGTCTTTAGTTAGACTTAAGCCCGTTCTATGTTCTATATCTCTCTCTCTCTCTCTCTCTGTCTCCATTAACCCACTCTGTGTCCAACATACTCGAACCAAAGAGATTGTGTGTGCTTTGAGGGTTCCTCCCTGTCGCCGGCAAAGGCAAAGGCAAAGGCACAGCAAACTATCGCAATAAAGAACTTTTGCTAGAACGAGAAGCTAGACCAGCGACTAGAGTCCATGGAATTTATGTTGCCAGCTCAAACGCAGAAAGGCTGAGCAATAATCCTAATGAGTAGTTGGCGGAGATGGCAACGTGAGCTGCACTAACATTTTACTCTCTTTATATGAAAGCCAATCATATCTTACCTCTAAAGATTATACTGCTCGGAATCTGTCCTAAGTAATCATCGACTTCCTTTCCAGATTGGCTTCTATCTCTCTGTGATTTATGGCAGCTCCACCGCCGGCATTGCGCATTGGGTACATCAATTTGTAGTCACGCTGCCATCGCTAAGTGAAGCCTCCCTCATGTATAATAGTGGCTGCAGCAGCCAAGGCTGCCTCCGTTTTTCCTGTTTTAGCCCCGCATAAATCTCTCATTGCCACTCGCTGTGTGCGGCTGCTGTGCCGAGTGCACTGCAAAGTGGATACGAATTTTAATGAATATGCGCTATATGGTCGTTGAGTCACCACACCACCAACCCATCCAGCCATCCATCCAGCCATCCATCCGACCAACATCCCTTTGAGCTGTGCTCTGCTCTGCTCTGCTCTGCTCGTGGTAGCCATACAAATGCTGCGAATGTTTCAATTTTACGTGCCACTGTTTAGTGGCAAAGGCTGCTTCTGCCTCTGGCATCCTGCAACCAAACCGGGTTCGATTTTGATTTGGCTCGCGCTGGTAATGAGCTGGGAGAGAGTTTTATGGCCCGGCAGCAGCGGATGCAGCACCAGGTTCGAGGCTCGTAGCTCGTAGGGGGCCCATAAAATTGATGGCCGAATGTTGCGAGTGGGTGGGACGGGGCTAGGGCATATCATCTGCCACAGCCAGTGTGCGCGGCAGCCTCATCAATTTGATGTCGTGCACATTTAATGTGGTGTTGAGGGTAAGCGCGCGGATGCATAAAAAACCCAGTGCCCAGGCCCAGGCCCAGGCCGGAGCAGAGAGCTGAGAGCCAGTGCCAGTGCCATAAATTACTAATAAAATCCGCGTGGTGTGCGAAGGGATCACGGAAATGCGTTGCGGCCGCCTGTTTGCGAGGCGCTAACAAATGTGCGGCCTATTGACACATTTCGACACGACAGCGCACCGAACGAACGAACACACGTGACAGTTTCGTGCGAGTTCAGTAAATAAATTGAGTAAGTCGGGGGATTTTTCGTTCGATGAAAAACTGAATGACACATGTCCAAGTATTTGCCACGCCTGGCGGCACCCTGGAGGGGGCGGCCATCGCTGATGGCCCTGCGCCATGCCACTACCGACTGTGACAAGATCGCCCACACGACGGTCTCGATGGGTCGCAGCCTGCGCAAGACCTCGCCGTCGGCCTACAAGATCCTGCGCACCAGTGTGGCCAGGCTGGAGCAGATGATAGGCATGGGCCACAGGATCAGGCTGAGCGAAAAGGAGCAGGCAGCCAATGCGGTGATCATGGCCGCGAAGCAGAAGGAGATACAGAGAGGGCTGCTCGATCCGTCCAAGTTCTCGCCGGGCAAGCACATCTTTGAGACGCTGAGCAGCATACGCAAGTCGCCGATCTTTCGGCTGCTCAAGAAGATGCCCAAAGGGGGCGTGCTGCACGCCCACGACACGGCCCTGTGCAGCACGGAGTTCCTCATTGCGCTCACCTACCGCGAGCATCTGTGGATCTGCACCACGGACGAGGGCTGCAGGGCGATTGCGTTCCGCTTCTCCGTGGACAAACCCACCATGAAGGCCATGGAGGCCTGCAACTGGGAGCCAATGGAGGAGTTTCGTCAGCGGCGCGGCGAGGAGAATGTGCGACGGTACCTGCAGCAGCGCTTCAGCATGTATCCGTTCTCGAACTTCACTTCGAACAACGAGGCGTGGAGCCACTTCATGGGCATCTTCATCCTGCTGGACGGGCTGCTCTGCTACGCGCCGGTGTGGGGCGACTACTACTACAACGCCCTGCAGGAGTTCTACGAGGACGGGGTGCAGTATCTGGAGCTGAGATCCCTGCTGCCGCCGCTCTACTGCATCGGCGGCGAGATGCTGGCCATCAGGGACACGGTGGCCATCTACCAGTCCGAGATGAAACGCTTCAAGGCCTCGCATCCGGACTTCATTGGCTCCAAGCTGATCTACGCGCCGCTGCGTGGCGTCGAGCCCAAGGTGGTCGACGAATATGTCAAAACGGCGGTGGAACTGAATGTAAGTTGTCTGGCTTGGCTGGCCCTGGGAACACACACACACACACACACTTTAACTTAGCCTTTTGCACGCCACTGCAGAGGGAATTTCCCGACTTCATGATCGGCTTCGATCTGGTGGGCCAGGAGGAGCTGGGGCGACCGCTCATTGAGTTTGTGGAGCCGCTGCTGAAGATGCCCGAGCACATCAACTTCTACTTCCATGCGGGCGAGACGAACTGGTTCGGTTCGCCCATCGATGAGAATCTGCTCGATGCCATTCTGCTGGGCACGAAGCGCATTGGGCACGGCTACGCCATCACCAAGCATCCGCTGTCGATGCAGCTGTGCCGCCTGCTCGACATCGCCGTCGAGGTGTGCCCCGTCTCCAATCAGGTGCTGCAGCTGGGCGTCGACTATCGCAACCATCCGGCGGCCCTAATGATAGCCGCCAATGTGCCCATTGTCATCTCGTCGGACGATCCCTCGTTCTGGCGTGTGGCCCCCCTGTCGCATGACTTTTACTTTGCCTTTCTGGGCATCGCCCCCATGCAGGCGGATCTGCGGTTCCTCAAGTGCCTGGCCCTCAACTCGATCAAGTACAGCGCCCTGCGGGGCCACGAGAAGAAGGAGGCCTTCGCCAAGTGGCAGAAACTGTGGGACAAATGGATCGATGAGGTGATACAAAAGAACTCGGCGTAGCTTTCATTAAATTTCGCATTTTATTTGATGTGTATTTTTTTTTTGTTTTGTTTTGCATTGCTCTCGGGCCACTCGCGTGCCAGAGCTAAGAGCTTGAAACTTACATTGATATTCGTACAATTGATATGGCTATGTGGGGGGGTAGGGGGGTGTATTTGTGTGGGTGTATAAGCTTCATTATATGACTTAAATCAGGGCTGATAATCCAGTGGGTGGGGTGGGTGTATGGGGGATATGTCTGGTAGTGGCCAACAGCCAACAGCCTGGAATATACATTTACATTCATTTATTGCAGCCATCTAAATTCATTGTTAAGCTTACACATTTATGTACTGTACTGTACTGTACTGTACTGTACTGTATTGTATGTATAGGGCATAGTTTTGAATACAAGTGAGTATATAGCACAGTTATAACTTGAATGCACACCAATTAGCAGTTGCAGTTGCTTTCCAGGGGGTTCACCTCCCTCCCTGTCGGCAATTTAGACCAAAATACGCTCCTCGAAATTGTTCAAGCCATTTACTTTACATACAACTAGTTTTTGTTTGTTTGTTTTTTGTTGTTTAAATTAATATTACTAATTATGTGTATAAGTACGCATTTATTGTTATTATTATTATTATTATTATTATTATTATTATTATTATTATTATAGTATTGGGGGAAATTATGCATCTTCTTTTGCTTCTTTGTTGCTTGCAAAAATATTTGGAATTGGAATTGGAATTTTAGTTGTGTGTGGTTTTTTTCTGTTTCCTTTTCTTTTGGTTTGACTTGCTTGCCGTTTTTTTTTTGTTTCTTTTGTGTGCCCCCTTTTGGTGTTTCGATTAACCCTATCTCATCCATTCACATACCTAAACTTACGGCCTCGATATGTTCAAATCCTAAGTATAACTTGCATCACCATTTCCGAATTTTCCACTCCACTCCACTCCCACACGCGTATTCCTACTCTTTACAGTTCCATCACCATCCATCCATCCATCCATCCATCCATTGGGAATGGGAATGGGATTGGGAATGGGAATGGTCTTTTTGTTATGTATCGCTATGCTGTACAAATCTTAAACTCTACTCTCCTCTCCCTCCCCTAGCCTACTACACCTTCTGATCCCGATCCCATTCCTACTGCTGGTTTATCCTCATCTCCCACTGATCCTGCCGCTCTTTTTCCGGCCCTGCCCCAACGACTTTTCCTCTATCGCATGTGAGATTTATGTTTGGGCTATGTGAAATGTTGCCAGTGTTGCTGCTGCTGCTGTTGCTGCTGCTGCTGTTGCTTCTGGCGTAGTTTTGCGGTCTTCCAACTGGTCTCGCCCACGCTCAATGGATAGGGTATTATATCAGGCTGTTGTTCCGAGGACGAGCTGTCTATATCGTTGTGGTCTACGTCCATTTTGCTGTTGCCCACATCCGCATCCACATCCGCCTCGTTGTTGTCGTTGTTGTTGTTGTTGGTTTGCTCATTTGACTCGCCATTATTTTCGTGGCTATGCCGCTGCATCAGCCTCTGCCTGGGCTCCGATTTCTGTTGGCCCTCATTAATGTGGTTTTTGTAATTGCTGTAACCATATTTATTCGTGTTAGACATGTTGTCACGGGGTATGTTGCTGCTGCTGCTGCTGCTGCTGCTGCTGCTGTTGCTGTTGCTGCTGTCACCGTTGCAATGCTGCGAAACGAGAGTGGGCAAAAACGTGTTCAATTTTAATATAAATTCGTGCAAAATGCATAATGCACATTTAAGGGAATTTTATTACATTTTTACATTTGTTGGCTGTTTTTGTTAATTAAACAAAAATATAATTATGAAACAATTTGCGAATTGCTGCACGAATATTTCGAGTTTTCGATAATTTAACTATTAATATTTGTGCGCTATATATATACATATATGGTGTGTATATATGTATGTGTGTGATGTGTAGCTACGAGTGGCCTTATAGATTATTTGCACTGTGTGCTTTCGAGCTCGCAGATAAGCAGGCTGCAAATAAAGACAACCACAGGAACTGCACAAACAAAGAGCCAGATAAAGACTAAAGACAAAAAAAATACGAGTAGAATCCAAATTATAAGAACTAGCAGTGCCCATGCGTCCTCCTATATATATATATATATATATATATTCTAGCTATTAATGTACCCATATTTCATATGTAGCTGATGTGAAGCGATAAGCGATAAAGTAGCCCCCAGCAATGTGCCAATGCCATGATAGCGAAAAAAAAACCAACCACAAAAAGATAAGCCCACAAAATGGGCAGCATAAAACGCAGCACTTTCCAGCACTACGAGTATTACAAGTCGCTGCATGCCCCCGGCAACAACATGAGTCTCTGCACAGCAACTGCAACTGCAACGTGGGGCAAGAACAAGGAAACCGCTCGGATTGTGATCATTGGAGCCGGAGCTTCGGGCATTGCGGCTGCCACGCGACTGCTGGAGCAGGGCTTTCGGAATGTGCTGCTGCTGGAGGCGGAGGATCGCATCGGGGGCCGCATCCACACGATTCCGTTCGCGGATAATGTCATCGATCTGGGTGCCCAGTGGTGTCACGGCGAGCAGGGCAACGTGGTGTACCAGCGGGTGAAGGATTTGGATCTGCTGGAAAAGAGAGGCGAGCCAGCCATGCACTTTTTCCGCTCAAACCAGGAAGCGCTTGCGGAGGACCAGGTGAAGGCTCTCAGGAACTTCATGGACTCCTCCGGCACCCTTACCGATGCTGACTACGAGGGCTCTGTGGGCGATTACCTGACCCACAAGTACTGGCAGAGCTTCCCAGCCATGGAGCGCACCGTGGCCAAGGAGGCGCTGGACTGCATCAAGAAAATGATCTGCAGCTACGATGCCTGCGATCATCTCTTCGAGCTGTCCCCGCAAAACCATTTGACCTTCGCCGAGTGCGAGGGCGATCCAAACCTCAACTGGCGGGACAAGGGCTACAAGCAGTTCCTGCGCGTCCTGATGGCTGTCCCGGACGATCAGCCAGAGGATCTGGGCGTGCTCCGGGGACACGTGCTGCTGAACAAGCGCATTGCGGAGATTAACTGGCAGGGGGCCGACGAGCTGACGATCCGCTGCTGGAATGGTGAGATCATCACAGCGGATCACGTCATCTGCACCGTCTCCCTGGGCGTGCTGCAGGAGCAGCATAAACAGCTCTTTGTGCCCGCCCTCCCCGCGGCAAAGGTGCGGGCCATCGACGGCCTTCGATTGGGAACGGTGGACAAGTTCTTGCTGGAGTTTTCCGAGCAGCCAATGCCAGAGAAAATGCTGAGCTTCAACTGCCTGTGGCTGGAGGCGGATCTGCGGGAGCTGCGCGGTACCGATAACTTTTGGCTGGAGGGAATCTGCGGCTTCCATCGCGTTGCTCACCAGCCGCGTCTGATCGAGGGCTGGATCATTGGAGCGCATGCGCGCCACATGGAGACTCTCAAGGGGGAGAAAGTGCTCGAGGGTTTGCTCTGGCTCTTCCGCAAGTTCCTGCCCTTCGATGTGCCCCCTCCGAAGCGCTTCCTGCGCACCCAGTGGCACTCGCATCCCAACTTCCGTGGCAGCTACAGCTTCCAGCCGACGTACGCGGACGAGCTGCGTACGGGTCGCTGGGATCTGGAGTCGCCGCTGGCGGATGTCTCTGGCCGTCCCCGACTGCAATTCGCGGGCGAGGCCTCCAGCAGGACGCACTTCAGCACGGTGCACGGGGCCACAGAGACGGGCTGGCGTGAGGCGGATCGCCTGAATGAGTTTTACGCAGCCAGGGCCTGAACTAGGCCTGGAAAACATTCTGGGAATCCATACAGAAACTTTGTTAATCGAATAAAACCTCTCAAAGGCAAAGGCAAAGGCAAATCAACTCTGACCAAGTGAGTTAGTGACACAATTAAGCCAAATGATCCACGCCCAGACACTCACCAGCCCCATCTCTGACTGCATATCCATTCCCATTCACATGCCCATTCCCCATCCCATTTCTATTCCCATCTGCAAACACACAGAGCAGAAATACTTTGCCAGTCATAACAACCATTAACTGGACCATAACATAAGCACACCAAAGACAGGAGCAGAACAGAATAAAACGAACAGGAGGAGGACAACGACGACTCTTTGGGCTGCCAGGTGAATGTGTGTCTGTCCGTTGGTCAAACAGAGACTTGTTTAACATTGTCACTCGAGTGCGAGGGGTAGAGTGGGGCGTATAAAAACCACGTATCCGGCTGGCTAGACACCAAAGCCAAAGCCAAAGCCGATGCCAAACGGAACTAACGACTGTCGCCGCTGCAGCGCATTAACCGGCAGACTGCGAGCCAGGAGGCAGGAGGCAGGCACAAAGCTGCAGCAGATGTGGCCAACTTGTAGGAGAGAGAATTTTTTTTCTTTTTGTTGTTGTTTCCTTCCAACTGGAAGGGCGACAAAGTCGCATATGTAATTGGACTGCGGCGGCTGGGAATGGGGGGGTGCTAAAAGCAGGATAGCCAGAAGCAGATACCAGGACCAGGGCGACATGCAAACAAACAAACAAAGACAGACAGACAACCGGCCAGGGACAGGGCCAGGATCGGACTTGAATGGGTGTAAGGACCCGACCCCAAGTGGGCACCACGAGTCACATCAGAGCAGTGAAATTTGGAATGTTCTCTGGCCCCGTTTTGGCATAAATTTGAATTTTCAACATGGACAACCAAAGTGCTGCTGCTGCTGCTGCTGCTGCTCGAACCGGCAATTGTTGGAGCATTTTGCAGCAGGCACAATCTCATGGCCAATGTTCCTGCTCCTACTTCTGCTCCTGCTTCTGGTACGGCTGTTGTGGTTTTTGTGGCCATGCCTGGCTGTTGGTTGTTTTGGCTTGGCCCTTCGCCCGCACCCAGCTAAACTGATTTCTGCTTTCCGTACGAGTATTGCTCTCGTAATCTGAACTTTTGCATGTGTGAGCACGCCCCCTGCCCAGCGCCAGGGATGCCAACTAGTGAGTGAGTGTTTGTAAATGCCCCGAAAAACAGGCGCAATTACAATGTTGTTTGGAGCGCTCTCGCTCTCTCTCTCTCTCTCTGTCTCTCTCTGTCTCTCTCTGTCTCTCTCTGTCTCTCTCTATAGCTGCAAATGAGTTGGTCAACATGGTTTGGCTTTCATTCTACTTTCCATTTGGCCAAAGCCAAACCCAAATGTTTTTGTGATACTAAAAATGTTCCACTGAAACTCTTGAAATTTTCAAAGCAGAAATCTGCTCCTCCTTTTCAGCCAATACAATTATTTATTTATTTACTTAAAGTATCCGAGTGGAGCTCTCGCTGGTTTGCAGTGTTGAATTGCTTTCATGGTATAGTCCAATAAATGCTCAAATCGATTAAATTTGATCTTATCAAAATCTGTATTTAAGTTGAACAGCGCTGGACTCAGACCCGTACCCGTACTCGTACTCGTACCCCTACCCGTACCCGTACTCGTGCTCGTACTTATTGTATATTTTTTGTATGCCCCTTTATGGCCCTTCTGCATTCTGGCTCACAGCTGCGACGTTCGATGCCGGTAGTAGGCATTCAGACGCTCCGCCTCGCGCCAGCCCGTCTCCACGGCCCCATGCACGGTGGAGTAGTAGTGCTTGTGGGTGGACTCGCCGGCGAATTGCAGGCGTGGCCTGCCGCCAATATCCAGCAGCGGAGCTTCCAGATCCCAGGCACCGGTACGCAGCTCCTCCGTGTAGGTGGAGCGGAAGGTGTAGCTGCCGCGAAAGTTGGGATTCGCATGCCACTGGGTGCGCAGGAAGCGCTTCGGATGGGGCACATCGAACGGCAGGAACTTGTGGAGCAGCCAGAGCAAGCCCTCGAGCACCTTCTCCTCTGTGAGGGTCTCCATGTGGCGCGCATGCGCTCCGATGATCCAGCCCTGTAGAATGCGTGGCTGGTGCGAGACTGGATAGAATCCAAAGACACTCTCCAGCCAAAACAGCTCCGTGCCGCGCAGCTCCTCCAGATCCTTCTGCAGCCAGAGACAGTTGAAGCCGGGCCAATCCTCGGGCAGGGGCGGCGCAGCGAACTCCAGAAATAGCTTGTCCACCGTTCCCAATCGAAGGCCGTCGATGGCCCGCACTTTTGCCGCGGGCAGGGCGGGCACAAAGAGCTGTTTATGCTGCTCCTGCAGCACGCCCAGGGAGACGGTGCAGATGACGTGATCCGCTGTGATGATCTCACCATTCCAGCAGCGGATCGTCAGCTCGTCGGCTCCCTGCCAGTTAATCTCCGCAATGCGCTTGTTCAGCAGCACGTGTCCCCTGAGCACGCCCAGATCCTCTGGCTGATCGTCCCGTACAGCCATCAGGACGCGGAGGAACTGCTTGTAGCCCTTGAGCCGCCAGTTGAGCAGCAGTTCGCCCTCGCACAGCCAGTACTCCAGATGTCCGCGGCCAGACACTTCGTACAGATGATCTGCCGCCTCCACAGATGCCTCAAACTTGTGGAACACTTCGAGGAACTCCTCGGCAATGGTGCGATCGATGGGCGGCAGCTTGGCCAGCTCCTGCCAGTACTTCATGTTGAGGTAGTCGCCCAGCGAGCCCTCGTAGCCGCCCAGATCCGCCTGTCGCTCCGGAATCGAGTCGAAGGCGATTTTCTTCAGCTGGTCAGCAATAGCCTCGGGCAGCACCTCCCCGTTGGAGCGCACACACTTGAAGTTTTCGTAGTGGGGGTCCGTCACCTCCAGCATTTGCTGATCCTTCACCCGCTGGTACACCACGTTGCCCTGCTCGCCGTGACACCACTGGGCACCCAGATCGATGACATTATCCGCGAACGGAATCGTGTGGATGCGGCCCCCGATGCGATCCTCCGCCTCCAGCAGCAGCACATTCCGAAAGCCCTGCTCCAGCAGTCGCGTGGCAGCCGCAATGCCCGCCGATCCAGCCCCCACAATGACAATGCGGGCGGTCTGTTTGGTTTTGCTGAGCAGGCGAAGGGTGGCGGCACTCATGTCAAAGGGGTAAGGTAAGGCACACGCGGGCACACTTCTGCGTCGTCCAATGTGCGCGACTTTAATAAAAACTCTTTGCGCTCGATGGTGGCGACTAAATTTAGTTTGCTCACTTTCACACGCTGACGGATAGTTGCCCTCTCCCTTTCTCGCAAGGTGTATTTATATGGGGTGAGGCGCTCTCACGCAACACGTGAGGCCGCAATAAACCAAACCGAGAGAGCAATTCCACAGAGAGCGCGCATGCTCAGCGTTACATTACCGCACTCCATTTATGAACCTAAAGCTGCTCTCTCTCTCTCTTACGCTCTGTCTCCCTCTTTCTGACGATCTTTCATGCTCTATTGATTCACCGCTACGGCTCCGTCTCTGGCGCTCTGCTTATTACGCACTGCTGCTGCGACAAGATCAAACTTGCCGATTAGCGCAGTTTCATTGCTCCCGCGCGTGAATATTCGTGTTCAGCTCATGCAATAAAATCCGCGCAGAACAATTTCGTTATCGGCAGTTTTTATCGGCCTGCAATAAGAACGACGGCGGAGCAGCGCAAAAACTAATAAAGAAGAGAGCAAGGCCGCCGCCGCTCTCTTAAGTTACTCAAGAGCAAGCTCTTAGCACATGGGCTCTAAGTTCCGTTACGTTTTCACATACGAGTTATCGGCTGTGCCTTTTCTGGCGGCTATGCTATGAAATTTCTAATAAATCAATAACATTTTTAGTATTTTAATATACTAATGTTCTGATTTATTGAAAATTGAAAAAAATGTTTGGTAATTATGTATATAAAAATAAATCCAATCGACATAGAAATAAATTCAAAATAAAATAAATTCGAAGAAAATATTCAGAATTATTTACTGGCCAAAAATGTAACTGTAAAATCATGAATTGTGAAATTTTGTGAATTGTTGCCGATTAGAATATGAAATTGACCTGCTGACTGCACATTTCCATAAATCCATCGATTTAGGCCATTCAACTGCAGCATTTTGTCAATCGACAATTGTTTGAAGTCAACTTCATTGCAACAAAATCCCCATTCAGAGCTTAGCAAATGCAAAACAAATGCTTCACTTTAGGCAAAAGCCAAAACAATCTCACAGACAAAGCACAATCACTGCCCCAAATATACTCACAATACTCACAAGAATCGACTGCGAATACGTAACGTACATACATACATGCATATGTACATATGTATGCAACAAAATGTTCTGTTTTGGCTCCACTACAAAAGCCATGCCACTGCCACTGCGGCAGTGGCAAGCCGTGCGAGGGAGCCAAGGAGCGCCTTTGATGAATGTATTCATAAAAATCCAATCATTGCAATTGCGGAGCGCACTCGCAGCGAAAGCATTCGCATTCAAGATGAATACGCCGAAATAATGGGAAAACACAACGGACAGCTGGGTGCCGTGCCGCCAAACCACCTAACTGTGTGTGCCCCCCAGGCCCACCCAAGCCATTCCTTCTACTCCTTGCCCTTTGTTTCCCTTCGCTGGGAAAATACAAAAAATTGCAGCAATAATTTTTTTTCGTTTTTGCGGAAAACAAAAACACTTTTGTGCATAGAATGGGAAAATAACTAGAGTTGAGCTCAATGAGCATGAAGTAGACGACTGCGGGCATACCCTCAGCAGGAGTAGAATTTTGGTTTGAATTTTTGCAAAGAAATAAACTAAAAAAAAGTAACTTTAAAAATCAGAAACAGTTTGGTAAGACAGACTGTAATACTCCGTCCAAAGTTGACATGTTGCCAGCTGTTCCCTTCAGCCTAATACACCCCATCTTTCTGCACTACAAGGGGTATCTGTTATAACAAGAGAGGAGCGCTTACAGAACGTTTACAACAACAAAAGATGCGATTAAAATGACAAGTGAAAGCAATTTTCGAAAGCATCTGCTGCTAAAGCGCTAGAGGGAAACAGGGCGACAAAAGGAGACACGTACAATACAGAGTGAAAAGGAGAGAGATGACTGTCGAAGTATGGACACGACCGAATGATTGCCTCAAATGGAATGCGAATATGGCTGCCCAGAGAAATACGATAGCGCCCCTTACAGGGGGCAAGGGGCTCCTGCATCAAGCCAGGATACGGACACCCAAGTCAAGCCCCAGCGGGAGTTTGCCACCTGCCACCCTGAACAGCAGCAGGAGCAGGAGCCCCCCACCTTGAACCCAATCACACCACACCACACCGTACAATCCCTCTGCCGCCCCGGTACTCACATTCTTGCTGCATTCACATTTCAGTATCCATTCGACGGCAATGAATTTATTCTCAATTTGTATCTGATGTGATTGCAGGAATTCCTGATCGATTGGTTCCAGCGCCACGGTATCCCATAACTGTGCACTTTGCTGCTGCTCCTGCGTCCAGTTCTGCCCCTCCTTGGGCTCCTCTGTATGCTCCTCCTGCTCGCCATCGTCGTCATCATCATCATCGTCGTCCTTCTTCGTTTGCCTCTGTCTGGCCAGGACCCGCTGTTGTACGTAGTTAATTGGATCGACAGCATTTAAGGGACACAACAGCTCGACCTGAGACACCAAAAACGGAGAAAGAACAAAAGAATGGATGAAACAAAAAGGATTAAAGATGTGAGAGTCTGAGAGTCAGCGTCCAGAGGTCGGCTCCTTCTGTACAGGATGGTTCGCTCTCTCTCCTGCCAGGGAGGCGGGCGGTGCTAAATTGTTTCTGACATCGACACAGCATTTGACTTTTAATTATGCCGCCATTTGCCATTTGGCATTTGCAACTGCAGCTGCAAATTGACGTTTTAATGCAATTTGCTTTTTAATTAAAACTAAAAGGCGGCTAAAAGGCAAAGGCCAATAAACAACACAAAAACAGAAAGCAGAAAACAGAAAGCAGAATCTGTCTGTTGTCCAATGCGAGTAACCGACATGGGGATATCCTGTCAATTAGTTGTTCGAAATTAAACCCAGCGAGAGCAAGAGTGAGAGACAGAAAGCGAGAGCTAAGTCTGATTTGGGTCAGCTAAATGGAGAATAAAAGTTTATAAATTTTCTATTTTTCAGTGAAAATTCAGCTAAAAATAAATCAAGCGATATATCGATATCTATTTGATTATCGTTAGGTGTGACCGAAGATTGTCGGCATTGTGCAAGTGTGACCAAAGACTGCACGCACTGCGCTTCCGACGCTTCGGTCACTTCCTGTTTCTGCCCAACATACGCCAGCGGCCCCACAAGTAATTAAATTAATCTGCTTTTATCCACGAAATCAATAACTCTTCTGCTGTTTTCTTGCCAAAATACTCACAGACAATCCACAACGCATTCAACACGATGCCACAGATTAAACTGCGCACCGCCGATGATGTTATTTTCGAAACTGAACGCCGGGTTGTGAGGTGCTCCCGCACCATTCTGACCGAACTGGGCTCTGATGGGAAAGATGTCTGTGTGCCGCTGCCCAATATTGATGCAAGTAATTTGCGAAAAATTCTGGAATGGGCCGAACACCACAAGGAGGACTACGACAATCTCATTGATTACGAAACCAGCGAAATGACAGAGTGGGACGCCGCATTTATGCCCGCGAAGATATCGGAGATTATAGAACTATTTTCGGCAGCTATTTACTTGGACATCAAGGCGCTGATTGATCTGTGCTGCCGGCAGATAGCGCTCAAGATTCAGGGCCAGACCATGGAGCAGATGCGTGTGACCCTAAATATCAATCCGGAGGGCGATAAGGAAATTAAATAATGTGAACATAACCTCAGCTAAGCTTCGGAATGCAAATAAAAGAACAGAAGAAAAATAAATAATAATATTTAACATGTGCATATAATATTCTATGAGCCATCTCTGGATGCTACCTACATATACATATCTCTTTCAAGGGGTATCAATGCCTTGGTTGGTTGCCGCTGGGATTGCATCGGAATTAACGATTATTTAATTGAAACAGACAAATGGCAAGCAACAAGCAGGAACGCTACGAATGCAAATGCGGAAAAGTGCCTGCCCAGATGGAAATGAAAATGGCAATCCGGCTAAAAGAGAAACGCGCTGCAACGGTCTGCTGACGCTGCTTGGCGCTTAGCTGCCGAGAGCGTCAGGTGGGCTGCGACTTAATGCTCAGTTGAGTCCCTCTTAGCCCCGTTGATTGTTGCTGGCTGCTGACTGTTGGGGAGGGAAATCTTATTCTTTTCTTTGCCTGCAATCACCTGTATCGTGGTGGACACCGACGGGGCACAGCACTTGAGTGCGCGATGGCAACGTCCGCATAGCTTCGGTCGATACAGCTTACGGGAGACGCACTGCCCCAAACGAATCCGTGCCGGCCCCAGGCGCTGTATGCTGCGGCACTCGTGGCCCTTCTGTGGAGCAACCAAGAATAAATGCGGATTAGTGGGGGTGGGGGCACGGGCAATCCTTTAAGAGTGCTCCATTTGTTTGCAACTCACTCGTATCCTGTGGGCTGGCTCCTGGTGCTCGCTATTATGATGATGATGGGTGTGGGAATGCGGCGCTTTGGCATGCCCGTCCCCATGCCCATCCCCATGGTGTTTCCTTCTCTTTGTTAATGAGTGGCTGCTACTCCTCCGCCTATTGTTGTCCGGCTGGTTGTGGTCGCCGTCACACCTACGATTCTCGCAGAGCCGCAAATTGCTCAATTGATGGCAGCCCGCGTGGGGGGTGCTTGTCTGCCTGGTGGCCGTGCCGAGGCCACAGCCACGGCTGCAGGCGGTCCAGTTGCCGCTGGTGGTGCTGTTGTGGCAGGTGGCGTAAACTGCAACGATTCGAGTGGAAAAGAGTTGCTAATGGTTATGCTTATGCTGCTTATGCTGTTGATGCTGCTACCCATGATCGAGTGCCGCTGGCTCCATTAATCATGGCCACATGGCAGACACGAGCAGAGGACGACACAAACCCGCACAAAGTGTGTTGCTTAGAACAGGGCAACGAACCCGAAATACCCTAACTGCCGTTGGGCAGCTGCCTCTGATTCGAAGACTTAAAGTTCCACTTCAAGGCTTGCCATGGACAAGTAGGACAGCAGCAGTAGTAGTATACCCTATAGCTGCTGGCAGCAGCGCTTAATATCTTGTTTATTTATTGCATTCTGCGCGTTTAATTAACACTTAATCCTTGTGTAAGTAATTATGCTGCCGCTCCTCGTTCTGCCAGTGGGCCAGCTCTGTTGGGGGTCTCCGGCTGCTGATGGAATAATTCATCTTCATAAATATGCGCTGCACTTTGGACTGGAGCCCGGACTAAAGACGCCACTGGAATCCGGACGGGAGCCTCGTCTGTACTGTGGGGGGACGCTTAAAAAGCATTAAGTTACGCCTCGAACACAGCCACGGCACGCCCCTGAGCGCCATTAACTCGGACGAGCGGACCGTGAGGAGTGGGAAGTGGGAAGTGGGATGATGCCACAACCATAAACACACTTATAAAACAATAAGAAGGCCATGGTGGATGTGGGATGTGGGGATGGGCGACTTACCATCAGCTGTTGGATTCTCACAGAGCCACATCTTGCAGCAGTGGCCGGGCACCTCGACGAGACGTGGCGATCGGCAGGAAATGGTGTCCTCCGGCGCCGGCAGCTGCTCGTTGGGACATAGCGTCGAGCAGGCGTGGCGGCCATTCTGCAATGCCACCATTAAAATACATTAAATGTGGGCCCATTCACTCTTATATTGTACATAGTACTACGTTCTCGTTCTCTTTCTCGTTCGCGTGCTAGTTGTTGTCGTTGTTGAGGTTGCTGTTTATTTAGCTTTGGCCGGGCAGCCGAAAATAAAGTCATAATGTAAAGAAAATATTGCCCAAAACGAGCAGGAGTGGGCCCAGAGAGAGAGAGAGAGAGGGGGCGAACTTGGCAAGCAACTCGACCTCGACTTGGCCAAGAAGTTTGTTTGTGTTTCCTCCACCTCCACCTCTACCTCTCCTACCACTCTCTCTCTCTCTCTCTCTCTCTCTCCTGCCAATGGTTTTGCTTCTGTGTGTGTGTGTGTAAAAATTAACATTTTTTCCTGTCCGTGTTGGTCCGGTCCGTGTGCTTTATTTGTAATCCACTTCTTGCCCTCTGACCACGATGATGGTGTATTTTTTTTTTTGTCACTAAATTGCATTTCATACATTGCCACGCCAGCCACATTCGTGTGTGGCTAGCATGCCACATGATAAACTGCCGCCGCAGCTGCTAACAAGGTGCAAGGTGCGAACCAGACGTGGACCAGGATATGGAGAAATCACCGCTTGGCCATAAAGCAATGTCACGGATTTGGTCTTTCCATTGTTTGCATTTGGATTTTTCTTGTAAATGAACTTAAATCGGTGTGACCGGCAGACTTGCAGTTATATTTTTTTGTTTATTTTGTTTCGTGTAGTTTTCAACCAAGTAAGTTCAGAATTTTAGCGGGAAAACAGAGTATAATTCGAGACAATAAAGATCTCTGCATATCTTGCAGCGAGCTAACAGAGACAGACAAACGTGTGCTTACAAAGCCATGTTAATTTAGCAGCGAGCTAACAGAGACAGACAAACGTGTGCTTACAGAGCCATGTCAATTTAGCAGCGAGCTAACAGAGACAGACCAACGTGTGTTTACAGAGCCATGTAAACTGCCACGCTGCTCTGCTACATTGCAATATATGTATTATATGTTTAAAAAATAGCATTATATACATATGCCTACATAAATATGCACATATGCATGTACATGGATGTATGTATTTAAGAGGATTTTTTTCGAATTTAAGTCTTAATATTGAATTGGTTCTAGCGCCTGAGTGCACAATAAATTACTCACACGTTCCAAATACAGAAAGTTTAAAACCGAATTGACTTTGACTAGCCTGAATAACTTATTTAATCTTGACATTCACATAGAAATCCTGCAATACAACTACAACAGTGGACATCGTGCTGAGCCCTTCCCTAATCCCTTCAATGCCGGCTCACATCAAAAACTACCGACTACCGGCACCAAATGCTATTTAGAGAGCAGTTCACACTTTATTTAAATTTTAATTAAAAACGCTGCCATGCAAAAGCAATTCACATCTAAATGGACCGAGTGTTAGTGTTAATCCCCCAAAAATACATAGGAGTACGGATAAAAAGAGTAAATGCCAAAGGGGAGACGGGCAACGGGTCTGAGCACAGGTTAAACAACAGCAGCGGGCTGCTGAAACGGGATTCGTTAAATAAAACTGCACTTGGCCTTATGGCTATGGTAACTGTGGCCCTGTGCATAGTCCTGGTCCTGGTTCTGGTCCTGGTCCTGGTTCTGGTTCTGGTCCTGGTCCTGGTTCTGGCCCTGTTCTGTGGTTGTCTGTGGCTGTCTGTGGTTGTTGTGGCCAACTCCAGTTGGAATGGCCATGGCCCCTCCAGCCATCAGCCATCAGCCGTTGCCCGGACCCAGACTCACCTCGCAAACGCATTGGGTTTTACAATCCAATTTAAATGTGACTCCATGTGCGAATGTTGTGTTGCCAACACTGCAATTGGCTGCAGGCGACCAAGGAGGTCGCACAGATCGAAATCCGCAGCCACATCCACATTCACATCCACATCCAAGACCATATCCAAATCGAGTCGCAGATGCCGACAGAAGTCGTTGAGGGGTTTCCATTGTTGTCGCGTTCGCCAGAGCCCAAAAAATAGTTGCATTGGAGTAAAAAGAGAAAAGTCAAATGAGCATAAAAATGGTGAAGCAAAAACTGTCAAAGCGAATAGAATTAAATTGAATTGAAGTTGGCGGAGAGACTCTTTAAAGTGGCTCCGTCTGCTGGTGATGGTACTTAGGACTAGAGGCAACTTCAGACAGTTCCTGACAACCTTTGAGTCGACCCACAAACAGATCCTTTGCCTATGATACATTTCATTTCATTTCGCTTCATTTCATTTGGTTTGCTTGCTACTAATTTATGTCATCAAATGGGTAATGTAGATACTCACATGTCGTATGTGCAATGTCAATGAATGGGAAGCCAATTAATGTCAGCGGCTGTTTGTTATAAATTTCGCTGGAAACGCATATTTACGAGACAAACAATAGAGCAAACCACCCACCATTCCATTCGATTCCATCCCATTTCGTGTCTCATCAAAATTGATATTGACAAATGTAGCTGCTTTATGGCATGCCATTAGGCCGCAAAAGTTTGCTTTTGCCCCGGCTGCGTGGCTGCTTCGCGGCTCCTTTGGCCTGGCCAAAAACTCGTATGTGTAGCCGCCAATCACAATTACATGGGTGCTTGGCGGGGAGGGGGCAGCAGCAGGGGGAAGCCTGTGCAATCGCATTCCGGGAAGCTGTTACCTCATAGACAGTCAGCAGCATAGAGAAAGGATCCACCCACTTGTGTGTGTGTCTGTGCGGCTGTGTGCCTCAAAATGGGTGCCTGGGTACGTGCTCTGTACTTTTCCACTTTGAATTGATTTCACTGGCGACGTGACTACGCCAGAGGCACGCAGGAGGAGGGGCACGGGCAGGGGCAGGGGCATCATCATTCATTTGGCATCAATGGTTAATGTGAAAATTGGCATTGCCAGCGAGCTGATTGTAATGAATATGGGCACGTTGTCGCATCTTTATGACATTAGCAATTTGGCCTTTACATATTACTCACAAAAAGTTGCCACCGTGCGTCGGACGACAATGCCGGAAGTATCTCCGTGCGTGCTCTGACTTTGCCACTGCATCTTTCACTTTGCCAGACGATACAGATAAGGTGGAATTGTGTCATTTTCGAAAGTGCAATCTGCTTAATGTACTTTGGCATAAGAAGACGCAGTCACAGCCACACAACACGCGCACAAAGACAAGCCACATCCACAGCCACATTCACACACACATGCAGAGAAGAGAAGAAAAGAGAAGCGTGCAAAAAGCTTCTCGTGCAGACCGACTCTGCTGTCAATGGCTTCCATGCATGCACCTGTCTGTCTGTGGGTGGAGGTGTGGGTGTGGGTGTAACAGAGTTCGTTACAAGCAATCGCTTACCCCCTAACGAATCGGGCTGAGCAAAGACGAGGCGGCACACCAGGGAGACGAAGCTGCTATACCCTAGCCTAGATTAACAATATTTATAGTCGAAAATTAATCATTTACTCTTGACATTGAGACAAAAAAGCATTAAAAAAGCTATCGAAAATAGGAGAGATGGAATCTCTCTCTGTCTTATTTTTGGTATTGCTTTGAACATGAAATTCTTATTTAAAGTCAGACGAATTCTCCAATTATTCTCGTATTTAGAATTCAAAGATTATTAATTCATGTTCCTTCTAAACAAAGGCTACATTGCATGCCCTGCAATCCAACTCAGACCGAAGAAAAGAGAGAGAGAATGCCAAAGAAAGCCGGAAGCGAGTGCCGGAATGTGCAATGTGAGCACTTTTATCTACCGTTCGCTGTCAACATTTAAGGCCCTTCCTCTCAGCTGAAGCGTACTTGGGTGCTCCATAGATGTCTACATATACTGCTCTACTCCTATACTCTTATGGCATAGCCCCAGCTAAAGCCGATGTCATGCCTCATACATTTTCTTGCTTGCAATGAACTCCTTGGACACCTTGTCTATGCTTTGTGTTTATGTTGGTGTTGGTGTGGCATACATATACATATACGTATACGTATGTATGTATTTTTTTGTGCCCAGTGTCCCTTTGTTGGGGTCACAACGTTGTCACCGTTGTCGCTTGGCTCTGTTTGGGGTCACGTGTGCGCAGTTTATTTGTTTTATGCGGCCTCTGTGTGTGTGTCTTCTGACCCGGGGCCCTTTGTCTGCCGCTCCCCAGTGTTGCTGTTGCTGTTGCTGCTGCTGCTGTTGCTGCTGTAGTGTTTGTTTTACTTAGAGTTTTAGATTTACTTAAGTCGTTGATGACCATGACCAAATAAAGTTTCATTTTGTGCAAAGATTTACAACACTCGAGCGTGTGCGACAAGTTTTGACTAGCCCCTGTCCAATGTCCCATGCTGCATGCCACTCTTGTCCACATATACCCGAACAACAGGCCAAAAGATGTCCAAGTTCCCCAAAAGTTCGGCTCCATGCTGCGTATGCGCAATTTTTGCGGCTCCAGTGTTTGCTTGGGACACGATGTGATTGAGTGCTGGAAACTGTTCCCAATTCTACTTCAAAAACTTCAAAAATCTGCACTAAAGATTGCGCCTGCCTGCCTGCCTGCCACCCACACTCACTTGCCTAAGATTGCCGCCAGGAAATTGGAAAGGATTAGCAACTTGACTGGGGGCCAAGCAGCCTGACGCAGAAGCCTTTTAAAGCCTGAAATATTTTCCGTGTACCATGCAGGAGAACAAGTTTTGCCAGACTCCTAACATGATTTGTGTCAACTGAGTGAAGGAAGGTCAATGAAGTGCTTAAAAGTAATTTCATAAAATGCATAGAGAAAGAATTATTTTATTTGAAACGAACGGGAAGTGCCAGTTCCCCGCCCCCAATGGGCTGATGTTATTGCTGAAAAATAAATAATCTAATTTCATGAAATTTCCAAGAGTAAAAGTTTTCCTTTTAAAGATTTTTGTGTGATTCTCTGGCCCCTAGGCACTGGCACTGGCACTGGCACTGCATATGATATCCACAGAGTAATCTTTGCAGGGATGCCTTTGGGCGCTGATGCTCTGCATTTCTACACGTATTCGGAAATATGTTTTGGCCAAGTTCACAGCGCCTCGGCATCATTGCTGTTCCGATAACTTTCTGCGTGCCGGGCGGGGGTATTGCCGGGGATTGCCGGGATATAAAGAACAAGTTCTACAGTTTAAATAAACTTGTTCCGTATTGCCTGGATGGACAATGCATCACAGCAGCGTAGTAGTATGTGTGTTTGTGTAAATCCAGATGCCATAGAACATACAGCAAACGTGTGGAGCATTGATATTGGGGGGTGGGGCCCTGGGCACATACACACGGTGGACGACTACGTGCGAGGTCCTGGGGCTCGGCTCAGCGCTGCAGAGCTCTGGTAAACTTTTATTTCGGTCGTACACAAACTGTATTGGCATTTGACTCAAAACTTTTGACTTGAATGGTCGGGCGGCGGACACGAATGAAGTATGAGCAGGGCCAATTTTTCGTACTACAAAAAAATTTTATTTTATATAGGTATATGCATGAAAAATGTCTAGTTAAATATTTGCTGTAACGCCCTCGAATCGCAAAAGTTTGTGTGGCCCAGTTCGGACTCCTGCTGCTGTTTAATTTTGAACATCTTTCTACGACACGGTGGCAGGGTGCCAGGGTGGCAGGGAGGCAGCATAAGTGCCACATGTCGAAGAGAATTGAACACATACTCGTACATACATATAACAAAAGCAAAAAGCAAAAAGAATCGAACATAAAACCATTAAAATCACTTTGCTCGTTAGTTAGGTGGGTGGGGGGGGAGCTTGGGTGAGTGTCCCCTGGGCGCTGGGATACTCGTATCTGCTAAGTTAGGATCCGGATTCGACTATACGAGTATACGCCTGTGTAGGTGCACAGCGAAACAGCCGGAAACGGGTCCCCAAAAACTTTGGCCAAAGCATGAGCGGAATTGAAAATAAATAGAACATTTCCTCGCTGCAAGTTTTAATGAAATTTTTTGCCCTGCGATTGTGTCCGGTTCTTTTGTGCCCACTGTTACCCTGTAGTGGGTCTGCCAAGCCGCCTAATTGAAGTAATGAAAATAATTAATGGTTTCCTCAAAATACCTTTTGGAAGTCTAATAGGAAATTTGGAAAATGCATAAAGGCAGCTCCTAAGGGACTTCGTTTCGATTACCATTTGAGTTCAAAAAAGATTTTTTGGTTTCTTTGGAAAAATCAGCTATAAAGTTCCAGGATTATCATAGTCCCATGTTAAATTTCTACAGATAAATTCTCTAAATTACTTTAACGTAAGAGGCAAATGCAAAGATATTTTTAAAGCGACTCCCATGAGGAAAAAAAAAAAGAAAAAATGTGCGGAAAACATACTTAAATTACAGGATATTTGGCATGTTTTCATTGCCTTTCTTTTCAAAAGGTAAATCTATGGCATGAATATTTATTCGGCATAGACGACCAGTAAATGGAGAAACAAGATTTAAATAGATTGCCTGCCAAAATGAGTACATTTTTCTGCTTTAGCTTAATGCGCGTTTTGCTGTTTGTTTCACTTTAAAAAGTAATTTTTTGGCTGCCCAGGCAGTGTGAAGTGCCAGGCACTGGGAGGGTGATGCTGATGCTGATGGTGATGCTTGATGATGTTGGTTCGACAGGCCTTTGATTAATGAAGCACAAACTTAATGTAATTCGAAAATTTCCATACCCCAAATCGATGGTAAATACCCATTGAGTGTTTGCTTTGCTTTGCTTTGGTTCGTTTTAGTGCAATTGAAATTATAAGCTGGAAGCAAAATCAAAATCATAGGAAACTTACCCGGATTGGGATGGCGGGGCAACTGTTCCACACGGATGAGGGCGGGTGCGGATGGATAATTAAGAAAATATCATTAAGGGCATTCATAAAAATGTTCATGGCGCTGGTAGGCTCAAACTCACTTTGATGGCCTTAAAGCCCAGACTCAGGCTCGCCTCGACGACTCCAGCAACGAGACCATTGCCAAATATCCCCAGCAATGGCAGCAGTATCAGCATTTTCTGTAAAATATATACATACACATAGACACATTATATAAATGTAGAGAGAGAGAGAGAGAGTAAGAGAGCGAGGAATACAAATTTGATGCCTTCTATTAAAAAAAAGAGAGGTCCTAGCAGTCGCAGTCGACTTTATTAAGGTCAATTCAATGTCTGGCTCGGTTTTTGGTTACGGCTAATGGTTACGGCAACGGCAACGGCTATGGCTAGGTCCATGGTTACGTTCGCCCCTTGTCCGCCCCGCCCCCTTGTTCCGTGCCGTGTTTTACATTTCAGTTTGGGTTTTTCCTTTCCATTTTCTAGAGGTTTTCACGCCTGCACAGCGATACCTTTAATATGCTTCGCTTCAAACTTTTTCCAGCCAAATTCTGGATGGAAATATTTCACAAACTGTACGGACTCTGCCATTATTTAATTCTATTCATTAATCTCTTAGCCTCCAGGGTATTCTACAGTCGTACCTTTCATACTGTTCGCTTTATAGCCTGCAAGGTTGAATGAAAGAAGAAAAAATAATAATATAATTGCCGAAAGGAAACTTGTTTGAATGGCCAGCACAGCGGCCTGACCTTGACTAAGTTTCGCCCGTGGAAATGGAAATGTTGCCGAAAGTGAATACATGAATAAACATGAATAATTCGCTTGGCTTTAGAATTTACGAACTATAAAAGAAAATTTAAGACACAAAACTAATAATGGATGGGATTTTTGGTACATTTTTATGAAGCGAATTAGAAAATCTTTGAAATAAACATTGCCAAACTTCTTGGCCAGTTCTTTGTCGAAGGAAAATGAACGTACGAGTATTATGAAATAAACTTATTCTTTATTCTTTATTTATTTATTTTATTATTTATTATATTTATTCTATTTATTTTATTTATTATTCTTTATTTTTCTTTATGGCGGAATATTTGCTTGACAATTTTCTGGCTGCAATTTAATAGCCACAAAAGGCAACAAAACTAAAGTTGAAAAGTTATTTGAAGCCCACTGGCACATAATTGAAAACAATAAATTGAACAGTTTCTGCCCGAATGATTATGCTAATTGATGGCTTAACAAATAAAGTCTGGCAGATGCTCCAGGGAGCATCTCCGAACTGCAATCGAATCCACTGAGCACATTAAATTTCCGCTTCCTGCACACTCGTCGCCATGCCCCCAGGGGGCTTAAGAGCCCCCCCAATGTCATCAGCGTTTTCACACTTTTACGAATGGAAAGTGTGTGGTTTCCTGCTGGTGCTGCTGCTGTTGCTGCTGCTGTTGCTGTTCTTTTGCAATAAATGTGAAAATGAATTCCGATATATTTATGTGTGCCTGGGTGCATCTCTTACGCCTGGGAGTGGTAATTATTTTACATGAATGTGTCTGAAAGAGAACGTGAACGGGGGCGTAGGAGGGGAAGCGGACTTTGTATGCAATCAATTTACGCGCTTTTTAATGGCTAAGAACACGCATACGACGTGTTGCCCGTTTCCTCTCGTTGGCGCCGTGCCGTTTACACACAAAAGGCACAAAATCTCATTAAAAAATATTTTCCCTCCATGCGTGAACATTTTAAAAAGGTATTTAATTAAAGTTTAATAACAAACAAACAATAAGCGGACCGGCTACAAAGTGCAGGAGATGCAGGGGCTCGGCCTGGGTATGGTTCTGGGAATGCGGATTAATGCGAAAGATTTCAATTAACGACACGGACCTGGTGCGGTACTAAGTGGATAAACAGTACGAGGACACCGAGTGGGTCGTGAGTCTGCAGAAGGATGCTGTTAACGGATGAGTGGCCATCACTCAAACCGCCACCACACATGAGCCACAAGGAGACTCAGGCAGAGGCAGAGCCACAGGCAGATGCAGAAGCAGAAGCACTGAGGCACTGCATCAATGGTCCGGCTATGAATGCATTGAATGCTGCTTCATTAAGGTGCAGCTCTAAGGAGCATCCCCACCCACCAGCTCTTGTTGTAATTATCGTAATTACAATGAACGATGATGATGGAGATGGTTATGGAGGGCGGGCAGACAACAATACTGTTGAATCACAGGCAGGACCAGCAGCACCATTGACTCTCCTCGAACATGGAACATGCAAGCTGCTGCTGGAATTGAAAGGTTCCCTTTCAGGCTAGCAGCTCCCCCAGCAGCGTCTCCATCGCTCTGATCTGTTAATTGCGAAAAGAAAGCAGAGTGCAAATGTGGGGCAACATATTCTGCTGCCACATGTTGCTTGCTTTGAATGTAAAAAGCAACGACAGGAGAGCCAACCTCGTCCTCAATCTGCCGCCCATCCATTTAACGAAGCATCCATACTGCTGTCTGTTTTTGTTTATAATTATGATGAAAAGGGGCAGAGAGCAGCAGCTTCCTTCCCAGCATCCTTTCCAGCATCCTTCAGAGCTTTAGAGCAGGGAAAAACTATACCCATTCAGACAGCCGGCCCCGAGGGGCGTACAAGGCAAAAATTCTGTGTGTGTCTGTCACTTCGGAAATGAGCAAAGCATGGGGAAAGCTTGGAGCAAAGGACAGTGATGAGAGCTGAAACCGTTTAAAAATCTAACCAGAAGGCACTGGGGGAGGATGATTATTTCAAAACATTGCAAAGAACAACAGGATGACATAGTTTGGGTCGGGGCAAAATAGAATAATAACTCTAGGGAGCTATATCATTAAGTTTAATGAACAGATAACATACACAACAAAAAAAAAAGGAGACAGGAACTAGCACGGGAAAAATCTTTGCTGCTGCCCAAAATCAGGCTAAAACTTTTCCAAAGTTGTAAAAAGCGGAGGCGGCGCTGACAGGCTTTTATGACCTTTTTAAATGGCTCTTTATGCATAAATTGATTAATGATAGGCACATCCCCCTCTTAAATGTAAGCCCCTAAAGCGGTTGTGTCCCTTTGAATATGTTTGCCCTGGCCAAATGAAATTAATGATATTGTTAAGCCGTTTTAAATGAGCCAACAAATTAATCTTGTTTAATTTTTGAATGTTACCATAATGGGGAACAGGCATTAGTAGGCAACTGATGGCTGGCATCGACCTGGAATTTATCCCACTGTAAAATCAGTGGATATTCCCACTCCTCATTGATCATTCCTTGAGGGGCAAAGGGCTGATTGTTTGACTGCTCATCATTCATAAGCTTGAAGTGCGATTACGGGCTTGAATCCTTGAGTGTGCCAGAGAGTAAATTGCAACGTTGTCTTATTATTCAGGGCACACACACAAACACACACACACACACAAGCAAGAGGATGAGTGGGAGCAACGACCGCTGTCAGCTCATGATGAGGATGTTGTTGCCTTGCCACTTCTCTGGCTGATAACAACGCGTGACAACAATGCTGACACATCGAAAGATTGTCATTCCATCAATTATTCAGGAACACGCAAATCATCAGCAAAACGCTCCACAATCCAAGAGTCATACAGCCTCGCCCCGCCTCGCCTCTACCACTGCAAAGGGATCATCAGCAAACAGGCAACGTCAACGTCAACATGCAACACGAATGTGGGGTGCGGGGTGTGGGGTGTGGGGTGTGGGGTGTGGAAACAACAGGATTGGGGACAGGAAGTACAAATATTAAGTGATACAATTTGTTTTTGGGTGGAATTCTAGCCGCAGGCTCCTCTCCTCGATGAACAATCGAGTCTGAAGACGGAGAAGGCTTTTGGGGAAAACAGAAAGCAGAAAACAGAAAGCAGAAAACAGAAGATGAAACATTGGAATCATTGGCATGAATATCTGAGTGTTTTTATTTATGACTGCGTGTCAATATACTGTCAGACGAGACTGTGTGTGTGTGTGTGTGTGCGGCAGGGTCTTAGCCTGCTCTATGGGGCCCACTACAACAGAAATCAATCAATTCTGGCCTGAAAACCAAACACAGCCAAACACAGAACTGCTGACTAACTGGTGGGGGAGTACAGAAATGTAAGGATGTGGAGTGCTGGGAGTGTATACTCGCAGAGTGTTCAGAGGGCTATAAATCGAAGCCTGACATGGTTAAGTGGAGGTGCTTAACAACGGCTTAGGCCAAACAAGGGAGGGGAATGTTAGCTCGAACTGCCAAAGAGAACCCACTTTTTGAGCTCCACAAGCGATAGCAATCATAATCAATCTCCAGGTGAATGTAAAGAAGAGAGCAAACTCCATTTCAGTGCGGCACAGAGAACTCTTTTATCTGGCCGGGAAACACTTTGCGTTGCGTAAATTTAATTTTGCAGCTAATTGAAATTCATTTGGGCGACATCAAATTAAGTCAAAAGTATAGCCTGTCGCCAGTGGTACGTGTCCTTGGCCCCCCCCCCCCGAGCAAAAACTCGGCGCAAAGTGATTCATTCATAACGATAAATTTTAGGGGCCAAGCCAAGAGGCTGCCGCTGCTGCTGAGAGTGTCCCTCCCAGGGGACATATTCTCATACAAAACTTGAGCACTTACACTCCCAAAGCGGCTACATATATATATATATATGTATATTTAAATGTAAATGTATATCCTGTGAACGTGTCCTGTCCAATAAATATCAACAGTTTGCCCTATATTTTTCTACTTTTGCCTGGCTCTCCGGCTGTGCCCCCAGGGAATGGTGGGGCTGGGAAAAACTCAATTATAAAATATCAGAAAATCGCAAACAAATAAATTAAGGGTACAAATCCGGCTAAGGGCTGCGGCAAACTTTGGCTCAAAATCGAAATGAAATAGTGACACAGACGCTGCCATAAAACCAAAGGCAAATACAAAGCCAAAGCCCAAGCCGCACAAAAGCTAAAAAAGGTTAAACCAAATATTTATCCAGCAGCCAGCCAGTCAGCCAGCCAGCCCTAGGATACGGATGGTTAGGGATGGCAAATCCTATAGTCTGTTGAGTGTAGAGTGTCGTCTGTATGTAATTACCAAGGCTTGGACTGCAAGTACAGCTGTGCCTAAGCACATACGAGATAGAGGAACAGGAACAGACACACACACACACACATCAGCACATCTATGCCTCGTATGCATGTCTGTGGAGTGTGGAGTGTATGTCTGTGTTTGAGCGTACGTGGCTTTATGCTTAAATAAACATTTGTCCGGGTCGTCTACGGGTCTCCATCTACGTCTCCGTCTCCGTCTTTCTCTCCCCCGTCTTTGCTGTGTGGCTGGTTTACATAGCACCCAGCGGCAGTCAGAGCCAGTTTGCCCCGGTCAAAGCCAAATCGTTGATTGCATAAGTTGATGGCCAACACATGTCCAAGATATATAGTGTCGATATAGTGTAGTCCCCCGCACACCCCGTAGACCCACATGCATGCATGCATACGTATACGTAGGCACACCCTCGAGTTACTCACGTGTGGTTGGCGTTCACTTCTAATGATGTCTGTGCAGGTTGCATTGGCTGCTCCTCCAGCGCCTGCCTCCTGCTGCAAGACTGCCGCTGCTCGAGCTTCTCGAGTGACCTGCAAAATGGGGGGGGTTAAAAAAAAAGAAAGTTTTGAGCCCGGGTGCCACTGATTGCTTTATTGAGATAGAAATCTTCTAGATTTATCTTCCACGAGTATCTACGGGCCAGAGTGGGTGCAAAATGAAGTGCTGGAAGGCTGTAGACAAATTGATTTGAAGAACTATTTAGTTGGGTGGGATGGGTGTGATTTTAATTGCTTTTTGGGGGTGGACTCAATCAATCAATCGAAGGGAAATATTTAAAATTTAATGGGTACCAAAATTATGCCAACAGGATATCAACCCAGTCGGAACATACATATAGTAAAGCATCGAAATCGATGAAACATTTGGATATTAAATTGTTCACTCCACCCCCCCGCCGCTCCCACCGCTCGCTCTTCTCATATTTGCTCATTGTCATTTCTTTGTCGCAAGGTGTTTGTTATCGTTTGTTATATTGCTTGTTATGTAATGTAATTTATACACACGCACACACACGCACACACACACAGAGGGAGGGGAGTCAAATACAATGTCATAAGCGGCAAGGACACAAAGGCAATTCCGCATGGCATTACAGGCAGACAAAACAAACGTCGGGGGGGGGGGCTGGAGGAAGAGGCGGACTAAAAGCCAAAAAGTACGCGTTTGGCATAAATGATAAGCTGGTAACGCAGCAGGACAGTGGGAGGATGAAGGGAATGGCTCTGGCTGGAGTTTGGGTTTTTGCCATAGCCATAGCCATAGCCATAGCCATAGCCCAGACATGCGAACAGGGCCAGGGCCCTGTGTCTGCTTTGGTTGCTGCCTGCTTGACTTTTGAATACTTAACAGGATAATGAAATGTCAAAAGTGCGCAGGCGGCCAACGAAAAGCGTGTCCTGTCCTGTCGTGTTCTGTCCTTGCTCTGGCCCCATCCTGCTGCTTCCTGTCCCAACTCATATTGATATTCTGGCTCTGGCTGTGCCGGAGTTTTATTGTGTTGTCGTCCATGGGCCCAGAGTGAACGTCACGGCATGCCGCGCGCATTAAATCATAAAGAAAATGAAGGAGCGGAACTCTAGCTGTTGGATAACGAAGAGAGTATACGAGTATGTATTTTTCTCACTTCATTTGAGAGAATTTCGAATACTCTTCAACGGGTTTTCTCACATTTATTTTACTAGATATTCCATTTGCCAGTCGAAAGCGTGCAAATCCTTTTCCAACTTTTTCCAATGGACCAAACTTCGCACCAGCTGTCAAACATTTTGTCCTGCCCCAGGCTTGCGGGCTGCCCAAATTTATTAGCCAATCATTATGCCCAATAAAAACAAAAAGCGCACGAAAGGCCCATGAAAAATGTGATATCCAAGTGGAGTGACCAGACCACATTTCTCATGCAGTGGGGGGGGAAGGGAGTTGCTCTTTTTTTTGGTTGGTTCGTTGGTTGGCCATTTTATGTTTACATAAATTTAAATTGACACAAATGCGTTTTGGGTGCCCCCACGCGCCCTGCGCCCTTAACCGCAAAAAGGAAGAGAGAGAAAAAAAAAAGAAAGAAACCAGGAAAATGATAAACTTCATAAATTATGACAGTTTCATGCCGCCCTTCACTTTATTTATTTGTAGTGATTGCCAGACAGATGCGAATTGAAAATTTATTTATGCAATTCCCTGCGATTGGAGCAGCAAAACAAAAGCGAGTACAGGCAATGGAAACTGCCTCGCATTTGCCCACAGAAAATCAGGTTTAATCAGGGCAACTTTTGTGGCAACTTTTGTGTCTGTATATGTGGCAAACATTTGCTACATCCTCTACCTCTGCCTCTTGCCCCTTGCCTGTGGTGGTAGCATTGTCCATTGTATACCGCAGTATCCTGCTAGTTATTGTGGTGGCCATTCGCCCCACAGCCTGTTGTGGCAATCGGAGAAACAAGAAAAAGTTGTAATCAATAAAGTAAATGACCCAGGCACTTCAGGACCATGTCCTGGCAAATGTGTGTGTGTGTGTGTGTGTGTGGGGGGGGAGGTAGGCCAAGTGTTGCCATGATTGATTTCCATGCATCAAAGCTCCCAACGCATTAGAGTGGTAAGCAGAGATATAATACTTAAGGCAATACACAATCCAATACTCTTGGATATTTAGTTAATCAAGTTGGTTTTCGCTGTACTTCCTGCAAATGTTATCCTTGGGGAGCAGCCTGCAGCTAAACGATTTTACAGATCAATCTTTTTCAGTGCCCACAAGTGTACAATGTAGTTGGGCATTCCCAGATCTCTCAGGCTATGGGTCTAATGGGAAGCAAAGGTGTTCCATGGCCTTGAAGCTTCTGTCTCAGCATCTCGTAGGGTATTCCAAAGCTATGAGTATGCATTGCATCAATCATTCCAGAGAACGAAAGCAAACAGAAATAACTTAGCACTCTGCAAAAGTGGAAAAGTAAAAGAATCTCCACTGAATACTTTGGGCCTAAATCTTACCACAAAAGTTCCATTCAATTCAAGTTGCGGGCCCTTATGCATTGTTAACATTTTTATTAATTAACCAAATTGACCAAGAGTACAAATACACACACACACACACACACACCACACTCACAGCCAACACACGCAAGCATAATTGATTGAATGCGGCGCCTGGAAAGTAGGCAACATTTGGCGCGCCCAGCGAGGAACGAGGCCCGAGGCCCTACTCCAGTGCCGGAAGCACTGCCTTCATTTTGTTAATGAACTTGAAACAGTCTCTGGAGGGGAAAAGCTGCTCTGACTACCAGTCTAATTGAAGCGAAATCAAATGAAGCAGCCATTAAAGCAGCGCCCGCCCCATGCCACACAACAATGAGTTGTAAAATATTCAATGGCAGGAATTCACTTCAATGGCGCTCGAAGCGCTTATTGACTCTTTTGGGCTGGCGGTGGGCCAATTATGAGCCACAAAAACTACGCACAATGGGTGGTGGGGGGGTGGTAAGGAATGGGGGCAAACTTTGGCCACAATCTCAACAAGAAAATCTGTAAATTACACGCCACAAGCACTGAGCTGAAGCTAAAGAGGCAGACGGCAGAAAATTTCCAAATATTTATACACCTAAATAGATTTGATGGCATAATTGAAATTTGTTGTTATTGGCTTTGGGCCTGGCCCTGGCTCTGGCTCTCGATGTTTGTGTATTTTTGCAATTTGCATAAATGCCAAATGGCAAATGGCAAGTAAAAGTTTATTAAAAGCATCGCCGAAACTTTCGCCCCGTAATAATGATGAAGGTTCCACTTTGGGAAATTGTGACACATAGCTGCGGGCTGAGAATGGGAGAAGGTCTTGGCTGTCCTAGCCCCGGCCATTGTCCTTGTAGTCTGACACAGTCTGACAGCCAGCATTTCTGTCCAGCAACAATTTATTTTCCTCTTTTCCTTATTTTTCGTTTGAGATAATTTAACGCTTTTTTTTTTTTGCTTGCAGCTGAAAATTGGATTTGTTGCCACTGACTTTTCAGAGCTGCCTTCAACGCTTGTAACAAATGTTGAAAAGCAAGGGGAAAAAAGAAAATGTTTTGTATTTTTCTAATTGCAAATGAATTTCTCCAGGGATGAAGCCAAATGAGATTGCAGCTGGAGGCCACATTTCTGAACAGACTTATCAGGTTATTTAATATTCATTTCTACACACAAAGCAGCCACAACAAATGTAATTGTTTGACTTTGAATGGTCTTCCGGCTAACGGCTTAGATAAGCGGCGAAAACTTCTGCTAAAAAGTTAAAACTTTTACTAAAAGAAATGACTACATTAGCCAAGCCATTTGGAGATGTTTGATAAGGGGAACCTTAGGCTAGGAAAGGCATCTTAAATCAAAGAAAATTGTAGTAAGTGAAGGAAGGATAGGGAGTTTGAATACCTGGACATTGGATGCATCTCTCTTTGATCTGTGCGCTGAGAATTTGAGCACATCTCTCAATTTGAGAGTCTCTGCAAAATGAATTTGTCCCCATTTAGCATTCACTTCAACCCACCGTCTGAAGCCATTAAACAAAATGATAAGACCAACTTGTCTGGTTCCTAACCGACCTACAAATCGCTCTCCAATTAAATCCTTTTTTGTTTTTTTCTTTTTTGTTGTATTCTACATAAACTAACTTTGCATTTGAAACTTTTTCATGCTGCCTGACAGACCCGCTTGCTCCCTCCCATCCCATCTACCATCCCAATCTGTCCACCGCCCCTGGGGCTATATGTAGTATCTTTTCAAGTCCTGCCTTGTGAACCTTTAATAAGAGTCCCACCGAGTCCAAGTCATTTAATGTGCCTACATTCATTTCGTTTTAAATCTGTGATAAAGTGGGGGCCGCTTTAAGCTTAGTAGACCCTTCGCTCTTCTTGCTGCTGCTGTTCCAAGTTTCCCACTCCGCCTCCCACTCGCCCTCTCTCTCTCATTCTCTCTCTCTCTGTCTCTCCGCTTCCACACGGCATGCTTAGTAGCCAAAGTTGTCGCCGTGTCGCGACAAACGCCATTCTTTACACGACGCGAGTTCTGTGCGCTTTTTGAGTTTCCGCTCGTTCGTTGCTGCTGCTGCTGCTGCTGCTGCTCGGGATTTTTCTTATGTTTCTTGCGCCTTTTTGTGCTTCCGGTTGTGTACGCGCTTTCTAGATTACTTTTATAAGTGAATTTGTTGCGGTTTTCCGCAAAATTTACAAGTACGTGAGAAAATTAGAGCTTAGCCTCTTGGAGCCACCAGCCACCAGCCGCTTGTTGCGCCGCGCTGCCTGTTGGCTGCCTTTTTTGCTCTTTTTTTTTTGTTCTTTTCGTTTCCTGTGCTCAAGCCCTATTATGGGGCTCACCTCAGCAGCTTAAAGGTGTACAACGTGGCGTATGCTTAATGCCGGCTTACACAACACTCATACGCCGCCGCGGTTGCAGCAGGCACTGACACTGGAGCTGGCAGGGCAAATTAGCAAGTTCATTATTTGCTTAGCCATCGCCTTTTGCCAATTTAACGCCAATCCTAAATACGTCTCTCTAAAGTGTAGCAGGGGAG